AACTAAAACAGAGTTATTACAATACAGAAATCATCAATCTTCAATCTTCAATACTCTAAGTCTTTAAGTTCTTGGATCATCATCAAAATCAACATTCTTCATGATCATTATTTGCAACATCAAGTCCTTGAATGTTCAACAGATACCTCTAACAGTTAATATTACTGTCCAAAGACTTGATATTGGGGGTGCATTAGGTGTCTTGAGATGGGTTAAACCACTATTTGAATATATATTATTTATTTTTTATATAATGTGAGCATAATTAATTTATTTCTCGTGTTCTAAATTCAGCTACAATTGCTTTTGTATCCGCCAATTTAAATTGCGTTCGGTCCTCAATGGAACAAATTTTAAGGACTCGGAAAGAGAACATTGATATTATTCTTGGTTACATGGATATGGATCTTGCGTTAAAGACCGAGCAACCCCTACTCCTACGGATTCAAGTACCTCTGAACAGAAAAGAGATTATGAGAAGTGAGATCGCTCAAATCGCATGAGTCTAATGATCATTAAGCGCGGCATCCCGGAGTTGTTTAGGGGCACTGTTTCTGAAAACATCACAAGTGTCAAAAAATTCCTTGCTGAAATTAAGCAGCGCTTTGCAAAAAACGATAAGACGGAGGCAAGCACTCTTCTTTAGAACTTGATCTCCATGAAATATCAAGGCAAAAGAAATTTCATGGAGTACATTATGAGCATGTCTAATATTGTTTTTAAACTCAAGGAACTAAATCTTGAACTCTCAGAAGACTTGCTCATTCATTTGGTGTTGATTTCTCTTCCTGCAACGTTTAATCAATTTAAGGTATCTTACAACTGTCAGAAGGATAAATGGTCTCTTAATGAGCTCATTTCACATTGCGTACAAGAAGAGGAAAGACTAAAGCAAGACAAGACATAAAGTACTCATTTTGCAAGCACCTCCAAGGCTAAGGGCAAAAGAAAGAGATAAGAGAATCTCGAGAATGAAGCTGCTAAGGGTCCAGAACAAAAGAAACAAACTCAAGAAAACAAATGTTTCTTTTGCAATAAGACTGGACACGTAAAGAAGAAATGTGCTAAATATCATGCTTGGCGTGAAAAGAAAGGGTTGCCTAAACTACCGGAAGCCAATTGATTCTGAAAGATGGATTTATGTTGGAGATGACAAATCGGTAGAGGTGGAAGCTATATGGCATTTTAAATTGTTATTGAGTACTGGTTTTTTATTTGGATTTGAAAGACACTTTTGTTGTGCCGTCATTTAGACGGAATTTTGTTTCAGTTTCTTATTTTGACAAATTAGGTTATTTTTGTTCATTTGGAAATAATAAGTTCAGTTTGTCTTTTAATTCAGATATTGTTGGAACTGGTTAACTTTTGATTTATGATAATCAGTATTTACTTGATATTGTGGCCACCTATAATGAAACCCTTAATACAGAATCACGTGGTACTAAACGTAAAATTGAAAATACTTACTCAGGTGCATTATGGCACAAGTGCTCAGGTCACAATCAAATCGTGACGTTTGAGCTTGTGTTACACTCTTAAAGATATGGTAAAGAGTATGATTTATCATTCTACCTTACCGGAATCACTTTGGGGAGAGACACTAAATACGACAACTTATATTCTAAACAGAATACCAACTAAAGCAGCTACCAAAACACCTTATGAGCTTTGGATTGGGCGACAACTTAGTCTGGAGCATTTCCATGTGTGGGATTGTCCAGCTGAGGCAAGACCTTATAAGCCAAATAAAAAGAAATTGGACTCCCGAACAGTAAGTAGTTATTTTATTGGTTATGCTGAAAGATCCAGGGGATATAAATTTTATTATCCCACATTAAAGATAATTTTTGAGACAGGAACTGCTACGTTCTTTGAGGATATTGAGTTTGGGGGAAAGAATAAGATTAAGAACTTCATCTTGGAGGAAGAATCAGTAACAATTTCAGAACCAATTCAAATAGTTACTTTTGATAAAGTAAGTTCGGAACCTCCACAAGGCATTGTTGATGAACCCCTTACTTAAGATGATTTGGTTGTTTATGAAGAACAAAATCAAGATCCTCAATAACCTGTGCATCATGAACTAATAACTTTGCAGAAATCCACTAGAGAAAGAAGAAGTGCTATTTCGGATGATTACATGGTATTTCTTCAGGAATATGAGAAAAAATAATGATATAATGGAAGATGACCCAATTAACTTCCGTCAAGCTATACAAGGTTCTAACTCTCAAAAGTGAATTGAAGCAATGAAGGAGAAATATAAGTCCATACAAGACAATAAGGTGTGGGAACTTGTCCCATTACTAGAAGGTATGAAACTTATTTGGCTTCAAGATGAATATTGTTGATGATTGTGTGTATGACAAGTTTAAAGGGAGACAAATTTAGTCTCAATCAGTACCCAAAGGGGAATTTGGAAATTGAGGAAATGCAAAAGATTCCCTATGCATCAGTTGTAGGGAGTTTGATGTATGCCCAAGTATGTACACGTCTAGACATAGCATACATAATTGGGGTTCTAGGCAGATATTTAAGCAATTCAGGAATAAACCATTGAAAAGCAGCAAAAAGAGTCATAAGATATTTAAAGAGAACAAAAGATTATATGCTCACATATAGGAGGTCAGACCAGTTGGAGATCGCTGAGTATTCTGACTCAGATTTTGTATGATGTCAAGAATTTGTAACATGTTATGAGGCATCAAATCATGGAATATGGCTGAGAAATTTTGTCACAGGGCTGCAAATTGTGAAAGGTATTGAAAAACCACTTAAGTTATATTGTGACAATAAATCAGCTGTATTGTTAAGGAAAGAGTACAAAGTGGACAGATTTCCATAGAACACTTGAGGACAAACTCCATGATAGCATATCCTCTAACTAAAGGACTTCCGCCCAAGGTCTTTCATGAACATGTTGCTCACATGAGTGTTTTACAGTTTGAGGAATTTGTGGTTTAGTGGGAGTTAGTCACTTTCATATATTTTATGTTCTATGTTTAATTTCATATATGTATACATTGATTTTTGGACATATTTGGTTATCTATAAATATGCGGTTTTTTCGTTCATTCATTACACTTTGTACATTAAAGATATTATATCGATCTCGATAAGTTAAAGTTTAGACCAGTTGAAAATATACGTGTACAGATCACCTTCACATAATTTTTCATGCTACACATTTCATGATGAATCTATGTCATTTGGTTATGTTAGGATGAGTAATCATTGTTGGTTTTAATTGCGATGATGCAATGAAAAACTGTTTTGGTTCTATATCCTGATATGATTAATGGACATGACTTTTGGAGTATGTTAAAGGAATATAATGGCAATTTTGAGCTCATAAAGTCTAACACATTTGTAAGGTTGTAAGGACATATATATTTGTGACCAGTGGGAGATTGTTGGCAAATTTTGGGTAATGTATATATATGATACATAATTGAAATGTGTTAGGATCATTATTTATTAAGCCAAATAATAAAGTGATCTGACTAAATTAAAAAGTTTAGCTAAAGGCATATGTCATGAAAATAAAATTATGTAGAGACCATAGAACAATTTCTAATTTGATGAGGGGTCAAATTAGAAATACTAAAACTTAAGTAATTAATCTAATTCTGGTTATTTTAAGGGGTCATGGTCCCCTTCTGGGAGTATGTAGACAAAACGTAAGTTTCATTCCTGTTCCTTTCTTTCTATCCCCATAAAGAGAGAAAATCAAGAGGGAAATACAGGTGTTCTTCAGGTGGAAGACCATAACATCAATATAGTGTTCTACAAAGATATCATCATTATGACTAATTCAGGTACGCTTTCGCATTTAGTTTACAACATGTTTATCAGTATGGGATTACGTTTATGTTTTATCGTTAAAATCAAAATCATGATTATTATTATTATTATTGATTTTCCAACATTCTGGACTACAGTTATTTATGTTTTAACTCCGTTATATTAAATGTCTAGTTTGAGTATCGGTTATGATGTGATTAGGTGATTGGTTATATTTACGTAACAGATTTGTCACGTCACAATCAAATTGCAAGAAGAAAGGAATATGGGCCGCATATATGTTTAGGGTATGAAAAATTGAGAGTTTGTGCAAATGGGTTAGGGAAAACATGAGGATCTGCAATGTTGTCGTGGAGGTACGAATTCTATTTGTGACGAAGGAGGAGGAGGGTGATTCCATTTTGGGTATTCCACTACGACAACGAGGGTCGCTTATCACCCTTCTCTCTCGTCACCACCGTTCTTTCGTTGTTGTAATGGGTCGCAGGTAGTCCCTCCTCGCGTGTTCGACTTTGCCGTCGTCACAAGTTCTCCTTCTCTCGTCGTCGGAAACAACTCGCTCCCTTGATGTCGTCGTTGCAAATTCTAAATGGAACTAACCTCTTCCTCCTTTGTTCCGGTCAATCTCACAGATAATAGCGATTGGAATCCTAAACCCCTACTGTCATCACAAATGGAACTCCCACATTTCCTATCGTTGCAAATCATCTCACTTTCCCTCACCCATTTGCACAAAATTTCAATTGTTCAAACCCTAAACACATATGCAATCCTATTCCTTTTTTCTTGCAATTTTGATGTGATATAACAAATTTGTCACGTAATTATAACCAATCACCTAACCACATCAGAACTGATACTCCAACTAGACATCTAATATAACAGAGTTAAAATATACATATTAGTAGTCCAAAATTCACATCAGTTATAACATTCATGTTAAAATTGAAAATTTAACAAATTTTGGAAGTAAATGGAAACATTTTAATAAATAAGGGGAGTAAATTACCTATTAAAAAAAATGAGCTGTGATTTTATTGAAATTTCCAAGATTTAATTTTTAATCAACGATGTGTGGGTAAATGGGTGAAATGGATAATACAAAGGAATGAGAGGGTATAAATGGAAATTCGTACTGTTAACTGAAACCAAAAACAAAAGGGGAGATTTTTTTGTGGGTTGAAGAAAATCAAACCATGGAGGTGGAAGTGGTGGGTGAAGATGGTTCCAAATTCGCACTGGTAAATGATGAGAAAACTGTGTTTGGACGGGGTTGTGGATTCAGCACCTGCGACCGTACAGTTTCTCGTCGCCACGTGTCCTTTCAACTCCACCACTCAGATGCGGAGGTTGCTGATGACAATGCTAGGGTTAGGTTCGAAGTGACGGGGAAGAACCCCTTTTGGGTGTACGACGGAAAAGAGCTTCGGTTTTTCAGGAAGTTCGAGAAGGGTCACTTGCAACCTGGAGACCGTTTCTGCTTCTCTCCCAACACACCCTTCTGGTACTCCTTCACTCTCAGCAACAAGCAACCTCAGCTTAACCTTGACGAAATTCACATTTCGGAAATTGATCCCGTTAAAGGTATCACTGTCTTCCCTTGTTCTTAGCATGCTTATTCAATTTTGTTGCTTTCGGGCTTCGTTTCCAATGTGAATTTGGTTGGTTGCTGGTTCAGTAAATATTACTTCTTTTTCAGAGGAAGGTTATGTAATGTCTTGTGTCATTATTAATCATTCTTCTGAATACACCGAGTCTTATTGGTTGAAATTTGTTAAAGAAAACATAATTTTTAATGAATCTCTAATTTTCAAATTGATATCCATGGTAATATTGTAGACCTTTTCAATAACTGTCATCTAAGTAAGTCATACTTATCATACTAGAAACTAAACTTCTATGATATTATGATTTTGAAAGGGCAGAGTTTGGTTTTCTTGTGATGGGGCACGAGTTTGATAACTATCCCAAGGGGGTGATCCGGAATGCAAAGAATTGGGAGTGGTTCCTCGAGGAACCTAGAAAGGATAGTGAGGATGAGGAAGATAGTGAGAAGGAGAGGAGGAAAATGAGGGGAAAGAGAAAAATGGGTAAGGGCAATGAAGATGATGAGTGGACTGGTGAAAGTGAAGATGATAAGAAAACTGTTGTCAATATGCGCAAAGGGAAGCCGCCCAGATACTCCACAAGGTCAAAAGATAGTAAAGGAGGTACCAAAGATACCAAAGCTAGTCAAAATTCTAAAGCTAAGAAAACAGCTTGTGTTGATGAAACTGTTGAAGAAGATGATGATGAGACACTAGGAGGCTTCATTGTTGCTGAGAAAGATGATGATGGTGATGATAAGGAGGAAGATAGTGATGAAGAAGAGGAAGATTTTGAAGATGATGACCTGGATGATTAAAGCCAAGGTTAGACTTTATATACAGAAATTCCAGCGTATTCATATTCAAAAACTTTTAAGCATAAAAAATGTTTATTGAGTATTAAACTAATGGATTTTTTAAAAAGTTGGAAAGTGTTAAACAGGTATCTGGGTAAGGAAAAAAAATGAATTTGGTCTTCAGAACCATAATTTATTTTTAAGGGTTTTTGTTATTATTTAAGATTAAGTTCTTGTCTTCAACATGTGTGTTTATATCAGTCTAAATGAAGCAAATCCACACCAAAACAGGTAATCTGTTCTGTCTCTGCCATCATCTAACCGTGTGCCATGCTAGATCTCTTCCATCTGATAGTATCTGATCCACCCCAGGGAGCTATGAAAGTGAAACCTTCCCTGAAGTATGACAATTGGAGCATCTAGAAGCCATCTGATTGTGGCCAAATTCAGCACCGAAGCTGCCTGAAGAGAGTGTATGTTCTTCAGTAAGTTTGCGCAGCTGCACCTTTACAAGCACTTTTTGTCATATTAGGTCCAGTCAAGCTTGAGGTTTTGATAGCACAAGGTGGAAGTGGGTATCAAAAGCAAGAACACGACTGAACTGAAATCATGTAGTTTGAAAGTACATATCCAAACACTGTAAGAAGGATTAAAAGCATATGGATCACACTGGTTCAGTTTTGGAACAAACATTTTCTCGAGCATTGGGTTTTCTTGTTTATTGAAAATGTTGTGATATGGATCAAAATACAATTACATAACCTTTTTAAAAGTCAATCTGTAATGTGATTGAAAAAAAAAAGGTGCACCCTTTTGAGCTTAGTGCACTGAAGAACTGTTACCGGTTTCGCCATTCAAGAGAATGAGAACTAATCTATGTTTTTAGCGGGTTTTTGATTTAATGGTAACTCACCTAAGAACTTAGAAATGTGTGTTCACAATAAAAAAAGTAAGAAAAAAAGGATAAAAGTTACAAACACATTTATATTAAAAATAAATAATTTGAAAAATATACCATTATATTGAATATAAATTGAACAAGTTATTTTATATAATTAAAGACATCTAAATTATTTATAGATGAGACATAAATTATAAATTTCGGGTATTAAAAGTACTGGGGATTACTGTGTCTTTATCATAAGCGGTAAAGAAAAAAATTATTTATAGTAAATTATATAATTAGTTATTAAACTATCCATATTCAATATTTATAGTAGATTTTACTCAGGAATTACATGTCCATTTGAATTAATTTGAGAAAAAATATATTCAAACTGTTTAATTTTGATTTTTTTTAAATGTAAATTGAAGCAACACAAAGAACAAGTTGGTTCCGTGGGTTCAATCAGATCCCTAAACTGTGAAAAACATTATTTATAAAAAAAAAACACATAATTTTATCTTTTAAATATAAAATATAATATATTTTTTGTGACTAACTTAAGTATTTTAAATAATTAAGTAAAAATGTAAATTCTACCATAATAATTCATTGTTGAATCATTTATGTCATTGGTTGTATTAGAATTCATAAATAAAAATTCAAGACATAAACTAATAATAAAAATTCATTATATTATCAAAATGTAAAATATGAGTAATAACAAGAATAATAACCATAAATATATTATTATTATTACTATTTTAATTTATTATGAAATACTTGTTTTAATTTTAAATATACACCAAATTCTGTATAAATTACTTATCAGAATTTCAAAGTATTTATTTACTTTAATTTTGAATTAGAATACAAATTAATATTTTAAATATTTATTTATATATAATATCATTTATTTATTACAATTTTTTTTTACATAAAATAAATACTTATCTTAGTAGTTTAAACGGCCAAACATTTCCTGAAAAGAAGGTAAAGTGTATGTGTAAGAAAATTTAAATAAATTGACCCAAACTTTACGTGGAAGAGAGAATTAAAAGTTGGGTTATATAATTTTGTGTTGTTTACGACGACGTTTCATTGAAGGTGATTATTGCAATGCAGTGTGGAATTTTGTGTTGATAAAGGTAGTGGTAGCTGGGAAGGTAAAGAGAGAGGTTTGTTAACCGTTCTACTTCTAGGGTTTTTCACTCCCTTTCTTCACTAGTAACATACATAGCATGCACAATTTTCTTCTCTCGAGCTCGCACTGTTTTGGGTGTAGTAATAGGATTAGAGACTAATTAAGCCTGAAAGCTTTCATGGATTGTTATCCTTCCCAACAACACTCGCAATTTGAAGCTGAACCAGGCGCCTACGATGGCTATGCCATAGACGAGCACGTAAAACCCTCTTCCAATCGTCGTGATTCGTCTTCAGGGTTAGTTACTGCTGTAGTGTGTAGTGTTACATGGTTTTGAGGAGAAAAGGGGTTTTGCATCGTTCTTTTTTCCTTGCATGTTCTTCGCTCCAGCATTTTTCCCAATCACACTTCTATTGTGGGTAATTTGACGATTTGGTTTTTCTTTTGTTTTAGGAAACTCTTCGTTGGCGGCATTTCGTGGGAAACTTCTCAAGGTATTCACTTCTTCTCCGTACATGTAATATTCTCCTGATGGAGTAGATAATTTATTCTAAGGGATTTTTTTTTTCTCGTCAAAGGATGGTTGTTCTTCAATTATTAAATGAAAAGGAATCGGAGTAGCAGTTCTGATTATTTGTCACTCATTCATTCCGTTCCTGCTTCTTACTTGGATGTTTAATTGCCTGGTTTACATTCTTTGAGAATAAAGGCGTCATAAACTATCATGCTCACACGTTGTGGGTCCTATCTATCCTGCGGAAAATCCTGAATTCCATTTCCACCGTGTGCAAAAACCGTTTGGGCCAGCTACAATCATAATAATGTAAGCGAGACTAGTCACTGAATCCCTGGCCAATGGGCTGGGGACCCATGGCAGGACCAGAAAAAAAAGGCTTCACAAACTCAAAAGTAACTAATAGTTTGTTTGCTGAGACTCAAATTTCATCACATTCATATTTAACAATGAAATATCATAGGTCTTAGGCAAAAATATACACATAAATGTGTCACGGGCTGGTTATCAGTTGAAAAGTACTACCAGGGAGTAGGTGAGGAAAATATCTACTCCCCCAATCCCTGGAAATGGCACAACTTAGAGGGAAATATGAGATTTCAACAGTGCTTCCTGTTTTACTTCTTCAGTGGCTGCTATTAAAAATGCACCGCTTTTCAATCTTGTAGCTGCCTAAGACAGTTAGGCGCTCCACACCCCTGCACTACTATATTGGACCTACATAGCACTATCGATACTAGTTCCATGACTATTAGAAAAAACCATTTGTCCATTACTGTTTATGGCATGTCTACATGAACATTAATTTCTGCTGCTGGTTGTTCTGTGGTGATTTTTTTGGAACTTCTGAGGGGATACTGCAGTACTGATTAAGAGTACTTAATTGAAGCTGAGTATGGTCCTGGTCTCTCATTTATCTTGTTTGTTTAATATATTTTGTCAGTTATTATCTGGTGCAAAATGTTATTAAGCACAAGATTTAAATGTTGATCGGAGTGTTTGTGTTTTATTTTCCTTCCCCTTGATTTATGCCATGTATGCAACACAAAATACAGTTTCTTTGATACAAAATACTGTCTGTTATTATGTTTATTCATTCATTTTCTCTTTACTTCTTTATGTCCTACACCATTCAAAGATAATGGAAGATGAAACATATATTGCCTTATGTATATATTTTCTCATTCTAGCACGTGTTTTTTTTTTGTCAGAATCATTTTTTAATTACTTCAGCAAATATGGAGAAGTAACAGATTCAGTAATAATGACGAATAAACTTTCTGGAAGGCCACGAGGGTTTGGCTTTGTAACATTTGCCGATTCAGCTGTTGCAGATGAAGTTTTGGCACAGGAACATACCATTGATGGCAGAGTGGTAACTTCTTGTTTCGAACATGTAGGCTCAAACATTGTTGTAGTGCATATTCTTGCCTCTGATGATAAATTAAATTGTGTTTGATCAGGTTGAAGTGAAGAGGACAGTCCCTAGGGAGGACATGGAAGTTTTTGGAGTATTAAAAACAAAGAAGATATTTGTAGGGGGAATACCCCAACTTTTCACTGATGGTATAGCGAACCAGATGTCCTTAATCTTCTAGGTTATATTGGAATTTGTGTACTCTGTCTGCTGACTACTGGATTGTGTACATTGTAGATGAGTTGAGGGGATACTTTTCACCTTATGGTGATGTTATTGAGTGCCAAATCATGCTAGATCACAATACTGGGCGATCTAGAGGATTTGGATTTGTCACTTTTGATGATGAAGATTCAATCGAAAAAGTTTTTTCAGCGGGAAAAATACATGAAATTGGAGGCAAGCAGGTTAGTGAAAATGTTGAAATTAGAATAGTATATTCTTATTAGAATGGGATGTTATTTATTTGTTTATTAATTTTTCTTTTGGATACCCTTGGCTTGTCTGATATAAATATAGGTTGAAATTAAGAGAGCTGAGCCCAAAAGATCTGGAGTTGATCACATCAGTACCACGCGAAAGTCGTATGGTGGTTTTGGCAATGGAATGGATGGATATGGTGGGAATAGTTCTAGAAATCGTAATCATGGAAAAAGAGGTGGACAGTATACAGATTCTGGAATGAACGGAGCATATGGCCATTTTGAGGGAAGCTTTGGTGGAAGTGCTGCCACTGTGTATGGTGGTTATTGTGGATATGGTTATGGCTTTGGATATGGTGGGCCGATGTATTGCTATGGCGGTTATGGACTCAATTCTTATGGTAATCCTCCTGGGAGTTATGGTGGCATTCCTTCCTATGGAGATGGTAATGCATATGGAAGGAACGGTAGTTTCAATCGCACCAGTGGCTATGATGGTGGCAAAGGGGCTGAGAAGGATGATGGTCCTACGACTGGAAGGTACCATCCTTACTGGAAGTGATTTGCATCCAGAGTCAGCCGACCGTACAAATGCCCGCAAAAAGGTATGGCACCCCTGAGGTAGGGGTTTGTTCCAGTTATCATTCATTCAGATCAGAAGTTTGAAAACTAAAGGTATATATATTGTATCTAATGGATTTTGCAAAACTTTCTTTTGAATTTACGTTATAAGACCTAGGCTGATTTCTAGAAGCGTCATGTATGAAAGATCCCCAGATGCTGCTAAAAATTAACTACCAAAGTCCAAAACCACACACTTAGATTTCATGCTGCAACTATGTTAAGTGTCAGGTTTATTCGAAATCCTGTCGGTGGACATGGGTATGCTGAGCCAAGACTAGCTTAACATCATTGGTTCTAACTAGGTTTTAAGGGAATTTGTTTGATATGACAGATAATTTAGGAGTAAACTTATATTTTGTACATATTGAAATACTTTTTGAACTATTTCTATATTCTGGTTGAAATATATGCATTTTTTACGTCCAGAACCTGTTCCTATCTGTTGTCAGACATTGGGACACATTTTATTGACTGGGTCCGTGTACTTTACTCGTTGGTCATTAGTTCTGATTCGTGTATCCCACTCCTGATTTTTAGATGCCAAATATTTTTGCTCTCGAAACCCGAAGTTTGCACATCCTTCACTATTTAAATTTCATTAAATTTGTAACTTCTAAACTTTTCAGATCATTTCATGTTTTGCCCTAAAGTCTATTATTTGAATAAAAGCTAAAGATTTAAAGATTTTATGCAAAAGTAAATTGATAAAGAAAATTAATTGTAATGATTAAAAAATTCAGGATCGGTTTAAATTTAATTTACATATTTAAAGTAAATTTTTTATACTGACAGTTAATTAAATTTTTTTTCCAAATGAGTTTAAATTGTTACAAAATTTGACAACCTATAGCAGACAATAACTAAATAATATACTCTTATTGTTTTAATTAAATTCTTAAATTTAACTGAAATAAATTTGAAGAATGAAAATCAAAGTCAATCTTAGTAGTAAGATAGTAAGATTGATAATGTAATGAAGCCACTTATGTGTGTGTGTATATATTCCCCACGTTTCTGGTAAAAATGCAGTCCATCCATGTGCCGTCAAAAAACAAAAAGATAGTGTGCTAGATCTGGACGTCCCGTCTGGCCCCCTCTGTCCGAGCCAAGGTAAAAATAACTTTGACCACACAAATTTTAAAAAATAAAACCGTGTGTATGATTTTATATATATTATTGTAACACGATGTATAACTTTTAATTCTAAATAGATAATTTGATTGTGAATAATTTTTAGTTTGATAGTGAGGGGAACATAAGAAAACTGCGAACAGAATTACCTGGAAAGAAGTAAAATTAAACAACCATAAGTGACGTTAGACACTCCCTTATTTTTCTGTTTAAATAGTTATTTAGGTAACTAAATCCGTTCAGCGTTTTCAAAATAACTACAGAAATAAACAATAAAAAGATCAGTTTTCAGTATGATATGAAACTTAAATCGTAGAGTAAGCTCACTACACATGAGAAACTATCTAGATAATGAAAAACTCTAAAATGAATACAACGAAACTCCTGTGATGCAGATATCATTTTAGAAGGGTTTTTGTCAAATGTTCTCTAGCTGTAGCCCAGGCTTGAGTTAGTGTCTGCAATATCAGACATTTAATATCAGATTGAAGGTCAAACAATATTATCCAAAAAATTTGTCCATCAAATGAAAATCAACACTGATTTTTCCAGTTTTCACAACAAAATAACTGTAAGAGAATGTGTTATATAATAAGTACAACTGTTTAGGCTATGAGGAATAAATGAAGCAGCGTCATGCCTAAATGGCAAGTCACGTGTCTCTTGTCATGTAAACTCAAACAGTAAGAATGCCTTAGTGCAATAAACAAAACAGAAAGAGTTTTGCATTACCTGTTCATTCAGGGGGGATTCAGCATCCATGCTATTGGAGGTCACTTTTTCAGCAATAAGCGGTCCATTTGTCTCAAGTATCATCCTTCAAGGAAGGAAACAATTAGGAAAAAAAAAAAATTGCAATGCAAAAAACAAAATGTGACTAAGGACACATGCATACCCTCCATCAGCAATCTCATCAAGGCATAAAAGAATGAGATCCAAGTTTTCAAGCGCCTCTCTTTTGTCAACATTGCTCCTGTAAATGGCGCAAAAAACAGTATACAGAAAAAGACAGAAGCATGATGAGTAAAATGCATGTTTATTTAAAATCTAGAAATAAAAATACCTCAAGAGAAGCGTGATTGCGTCAAAGAAACCATGAAGAACTGAAGCTAAAATGACCTCATTTTCATCATCGCCGCCAGTGACAAAGAAATGGAGATCTTGTACAAATTTGTAAATAATGATATTGTTGTCGAGTAATGTGATCTCAGCTAAAGATAAATTGAAACAATGTATCCAGTTACCAAAAGAACAGGGTAAACTCGAGTATCTTATGATATTACCAAGGCTCCAGTTGGTAAATGCCAATATAAAAAATAAACAATGCTTCGACTAAAGAACTTGGGAAAACCTTTTAAAACCACATAACCAATATTGTATATATCTCAAATTTCACTGAGAAATTGATCAGATCCACATTCTGACGAAGTTCTTTCTTTAATTCAATGATAACAACAAATACCAGTAAATATAGTTTGGTAAATGATAGTTTGAGAACCAAATCTATATCACTCTTATAAATAACTTTCTTTTAATATTATAATAATAATTTTATTTTATTTTTATTTTTATTTAATTATTTTATAAATTATTATATTAATAAAAGTAAGTTATTTAAAGAGTAGTCAAAATATCACCGTTATAAAGAAAATACCGATGTTTGATGCATGCAGATATTGTCCAAAAAGGAAAAGAGTAAAAATCAAGCCTAATGTCGATAGAAATGTTTCCATCAGACGAAATTACTATTTTGACGTAAGACATCAACTGATTTGATGCTCTATGGTATTTCTATTAATTATTTCTTTATTTTGGGTTTCAGGTAAAAGACATAAAAAAGAAGCCGAAAGCTCTTAATTGATTAATGCGAGCTCCAAGATTACTTATATCCTCACCGAGCATAAGAAATCACTCCTGAAACTGAAGGTAAGAAGGACTTTTAAGACCTATATGCATATAACATTGTAATCTGCAATACCTATGAAATACTGCCATCTTAGCTTTCCATATAAAATCATGAGTTGGTATCGTGATGAGTGCTTGTCAAACTCTGATGCTTACCTTCTGTTCGAGCATTTGTCTTAACCGTCTTACTAAACACAAACTTCTCAAAAGCAATCTTTGAGCTGTTGGTTGGCCAGTCGTCTGAAAAATACTTGACTGCCACACGCTTTCCATCGGAGTCTAGAAGAAGAATATTCTTTATCAATGGACATGAGCCCTACAGATAAAATGCACCTATTACTCATCAAAGGAGAGTTACCACTACCACTACCACATAATACATGCAGCCTATACTACTACACAGATATCATTATGAGTGAATACTGTAAGTGTTAAAATAAATCAGACTTGAGCATTTTATCATGTCATTCTATCATTACGGAAGGCACAGAACATTTTTGTTTTTTTATAAATCGTTCCCACTCATGGAGACTATATATAATTTTTTTAACACACGATTGTCTGATACTAGTTCTCAACAAGTTATGATAACAGCGCATGGTTGTGGAATCGGACATTACAAAATCCATATAATAAAAAACACGCAAATGGAATGAAAGAATGCAGGGAACCATAATGTATATACAGAGTGCACATTATCCTGGAGAATCAAATTAAGCCTTGCAGTGTTCAATTCTGACTAAACAAGAGAAAAATGAATCGCTTGCTTATGTAATCCATTCTCTCAGTACTGTTTCCACAATTGCATGTCGTCAATATGAATCTGAAACGTAAAAATACGCATAAAATCTCAAATTCGCATATCTATCATTTTCAAATTCCAAATCTCTTGTTGATTGATTCAATTAATAAAAAAGAAAAAAGAAAAAAAAAAGCGAATTCAACCTTGACGAATCAATGAAAATAAATAATGTGAAAGATTTGATACTATTAAGTAGCAGATAGATGTATGAGTCATTTTCAGTATTGCATCGTGATTAAGATCTGTGTGCAATGAAAAGTAGCACATGAGAATATGATAAGAAAATTGTGAGAAGAGAGAAACTTACATAGGAAGCCATTTGGGAGAAACAGAATCCATTACAGAGTGCGGATTCTGTATTTACATACATAATTGAGATTTGATTTGAGAGATAATGGGCAATTTCGTAAATTAAAAATTGGTAATATTATTGTGATTTCAACATAACAATTTGTTTTCCTATTTTGACCTTCAACTTTTATGAGAAACTGCACAATAATAAAGATCGAAGGACCCGTTTGTTGTAAATTTACTCTTCAACCGAATAACTAGACACACCCCCACATCACTTCTTATTGTTGCTTAAATTTTTATTGTTATTTTTTTCTTTAAACACTCCAATGGATGTATATCTGCAGTTTTATTTGATTATTTGGTTTTATGATTGTTTTACCAATTGATTTATACATTTGTTATTGTATTTACTTTACTGAAAATTATATAAAAAAAATTCTACCAATTAACTTGTACAAAAATTAATTTTATTTATATGTTTTTAGAAACACTTCTAAAGAGTCTCATGCAAACAAATTATAATTAAATCGCGATGTTTCGTTGGTTGGTGGTGGCTCTTAGATCAAACCTAAGGACATAAACTAGAATTTGTAAATGCATTAATTTAACTTGGATTTATACCACATGCATGATTTGAAGAGATAGAAGAAACAATTTGCATTGTGGTAAAAAACAACTATAAAATCCTTTGAATTTGAAGTTTGTAAGATGGAATTGAACGTTAAATATGAAATAATATATTCATTCATATTGAATGGGTATGAACAGGAACAAGAACAACAGACATATGTATTAAATTCATTCATCATCACGGACTGTAGAGGGAAGGACCACACTTGCATTTCCAACTCTCTGGCTCATAATTTGCATACTGCACGCTCAAATGACTACGTCTGCTGGTGGTGCTGGGCACTTGAATGGCTTCACATGGTGTGCAACCATAACACTTGTGCTCACAATTTGGTGGACTTGACCCTATTTTGCTCACTCCTCTATTATATACTTCTTCCATAGTATCTGACATAACTCCCTTTAAGAAAGGAAAATAGACACTTTAGGCTATAACTCAGTATTAGAAAGTCTGAAACCATAATGATGTCAACTAATCTTTACATGCAATATAGTATTACTAGTAACTCTTTTGAAGAAATTTAAGATCTTAAATATATGTCACAGTTACACAAATACCGATACACATGGTTATCATATAACATGTTACCCTGGGATACCAGAAGGAAACTCCAAAATTGGAGAAGGATGACACACCTTATCTGATTCTACAGTATGCAGTGGTGAAGACTCTGGTCCCGGTGCCTCCTCGGGGCCTGATGGAGCATAGACAACAACATAGGACAAAAGTAATGAAATAGTTAGTTGTCAAAGAGAAATGTTCACAGTAGGAAAGGCTGAAAGGGGAAGACATATATATGATAAAGCAATTTTATGTTTTTGAAAATGTATAGTAGTGAGGAAATGGAGTGACAGAAAAGTTGAGGCTGATATGAATATGATGAACATATAATTGCTAGTTATAATTACCATGCAGTGTTAAGAAGTCAAACATCAAAATAATTTAGTTTAACTAACCTGGTTGGGACATGGCATCAGTTGGAAGAAAGGGTCTTCTTGCTACAACCACAAATTCCCAACTCACTATTTGTAGAAGTAGCAGAAAACAACAGAATGTTGCTTTCATTTTTCTGTTATTCAAAAGAGCAAATGATGATGATTTGAGTATTGCTTATCCTTTCACAACAAGAGGCAAAACATGATGATTGATTTGCTGAATTGTGGAATATAAGAAGGGGAGAAAGGGTAGGTAGCTATTGTAATTCCCAAAAAGATCAGACTAAGTTCCAAACTTTTATCAAGTTAGTATTGAATGGGGTGAGAGATTTTGTTTCACAAGCAAGTGATTTTGCTTCACTACTTGCACAAGTTTCACCTTCATTTGACACCTCAGTAGGTGCTCTAAGACTAGTCTGTTTTCAACTCCCTTTCACCCTCTAACATAAGATTGCTTACCTTTCAATACAAGCCAAGCCAAAGCCAAAACCAAAACCAAAACCAAAACCAAAGCCTAAGCGTATCTTTCTTCCATCTCTCTCAAATCAATCTAATTAAAGTAATGCACTGTATACGGTGCTCTACTAGTGCAGAATGACAGCACCCATTTTTGGTCTGAAAACACCTGCAAGACCCTCATAATTTTTCTGATGTTTCAGATTAAAATAATGATTTTCATATCTAGACTGCAGAGCCTTTGTCTTTTAGTGATGCTTTAATTCGTTACTGAAGAACAAAAAAAAAAACATTAGTGTTCATAGAACAAATACAACACACTCCACTATACCAATAGTACTTATTGAGTTAGTTAAATGGATATATATTAATGTGGTACTACTCTACTAAAGTCAACTTTACAGAAGTTAGTTATTGGGAAACCGACAAATCCCTTCACTAGTATCTAAAAATATGGACCATTTGTTTTAGAACACGCTCAATTATTCAAGTTAGAATATTTTTATTTGGTGTTTAAAATTTTAAATTCAAATTCTTGTTTTACATATCAACAACATCAAAATTATTCTAAAATTTTACTTTGAATATGAATTATTTACCATTTGATATCATGGTAGACTTAACACACGCTTTATTTAATATTTAAGGATTTATTATGTAGGTTACACTAATCATACATTTCAACAAATTCTAAGATTATAAGTTGATGATTAATTGATTTAATAGACAAACTTGTACTAATAACCACTTGGTTAAAATGCTTTTAGGATAAAGATAGGTTTACTCTTTATTACACATATTAAAAAAAATAAAATTAAAAGATAAATTACTTACAAAATTTAAAAACAATTATAAATTTTAGTATAAAACATTAATATTTTAATTTGTTTAATGCACATTATACTTTATACGTGTTTATTCATATATTAAAATTTGTAATCTTACCTATTCAAAAATAATTTTCTATAAATGAACACTGTTATTTATTCTAAAGAATAAACCCTAGTGATAGTAAACATTAACTATATAAAAATACAGTAAGTTAGTAAATGTTCTAGATAGAAAGGTTAATTAATTTAGAATGACATGAATGTGTCATCTATAAATCATGCTAAAGGACAAGCAAGGTTTACATATAACCAAACTCCAAGTGTATCTATATTCTTTGTACATTAAAGTTTAATTTTTAATATAATTTTTAAATTAAAAAGGAATTAAATTTACATACTTTTAATTATTTGATAATTACTTCATCAAATCAAAATTATAAAAATCAAAATGAAGTTTAATCAATAGTTCAATAATAAGATAAAACAACGTTATTTTTTAAGAATCATATACAAAAAAGTTATAATGTACAAGAAACCTTTATTTATTTATTTTTATTTTACTCAAATCATATTTCAATACAAATGATGAAATTTAATTTGATACACTCCAAACTTTAAGAATTAAATGCATTTCCATTCGGTTTTAGTTTAATTTTTTTAAAATGTTAACAGCATCTCCACCACATGTTTAGATATATTTTAGTTGTGGATTTTTTTTTATAATAATTTTCACATCACGATATTTTCGTAATCTCTCCATCATCATTATTTGGTATATATTTTGATTATAAAAAAAAAAAAAAAGAATATTACCCCCATTTTGCAGCAGATACGAAGGCAATGCACGCTAATCCACATTTCCAAACTTGTGACATCAAGTGGCACAACACCCACCTATGTTTCGTGCGTTGCGTGTTACGATGAATCACAATATTCCATGACGCAGAGGGTCATCGATGTCACCGTGACCACTTTTAAGAAGCAAGAGCCATTTTTGTTTCATCTCAACTCAATCACCACCACAATATTCCATCTACCGTGCGTCACACCACTTTATGACCAGTTGGAAAATGCAAGAGCCATTTGGGTCAACTTGGTTAAAACTCAATCAACCAAATGAAAAAGATGGAACAATTAAATAACCTTAATTAGTTCAAATTAAAAATTTTAACCCATGAAATATGGGTAATGGAGTAATCTATTTGTGCTACTATAAATGTAACAATATGGAAACACCATGTTCCACGGCCAGAGTGCTCCATTTGGTGACATTCATAGAAGCAGTTACCAGTGTATCCTCTGTGCTGTCATTGTACTCCTTCTCACCATAAACATAACCATTGGTGGTAGGTTTACCTTCTTCTTCTTCTTCTTCTACTAAGTTTTAGGTAGCTATGTTCTAAACTTTTTTTTTTTTTGAAGAATTAATTATTCACATTCAAATGAACAAAATAATAATCAAAATTTAAATTTTATGTCATTAATGAGCTCCAGATTTTTTATTCGAATGAATTGCCTCCACCTTCTAAGTTCTCAGTCACACTCATTGGGCACTCTGATTTCACCATCTCAACTTTTTACCACTACTCCATCACGCTTGAGGGCTGTAAAGGTTCGTTCAAATTCATGCCTCATGTCTTTGGTTACACTCAAAAGTTAATATATATATATATATATATATATATATATATATATATATATATATATATATATATTTCTGATAATATATCTCATATGAATATATATTTTATTTTTTTATTCTATTTATATATAATTTTAATATAGTAAAATAATAAATATTAATAATATTTTAATTATAATTATCTAAATAAAAATAATAATTAATATATTTGTATACATATTTTTTAAATAATAAAAATATCTTAATATTTAATTTAAATAAAAAATATTCTCAATAATATATAATATAATGATATTAAAATTAATATTTTTATAATATAAGTAATAATATTTTTAAAAAAAGTTTAATATTATAATTATTATAAGTTATAATAAAAATTATGTTAAAAATATATAGGATGACTAAATATTAAAATAAAATAATTATTTATTTAAAATTAATATAATATAAGATAAACAATTAAAATATAATTATTTTAAAATAATAGGCCGATTTTTAAATTGATTTTTGGTTTGATTTTTAAAATTATATATATATATATATAATATTTTAATTATTTTAAAAATTATATTTTATATTAGATAATAAAAAATATAATTATAATAATTTATTGTTATTAAGTAATTTTAATTAATATTTTAAAATAATAATTATTGAAAAATATTTTATTGAGTCATATTTTAAAAAATATATTATTGATTAATCCACGGGGATGAATTAATTTATTGTAATTTGAAATGAATTCTTATTATTTAATTGAGTTTAACATACTTACGATAACGCGTATTTTTTAATTTAAAAAAAAATAGTCTCTCACTATTCTTAAGCGAGAAGAAACTCCAACAAAATATTCATGAGATTGGTTCAGTCTGAATTTATTCTTCGTCTCATTAATGTTTTTAATATAATAATTTAAAATAATATTTGATCTTAATCAATGAATTAAAAAAATAATCATAATAATAAAAAAATTTCTTCATTCATTTATTTCTTTATTTATACAGAAAAAAGAAAAGAAAAAACACATGTATTACTATGGTACGTATTAATTAGTATTCAAAACAAAATCGATGCGAGTTGTAATAACTGATTGAAAGTGAGGTTGGTCTCTTTGACATTTCTTTCTATTTCTAAATCTACATTTATTAACAGCATGCACACATGACATGATAAATCAACATCCTAATTTCTTCTTCCATCACGACCAGTTCTTGTTTTTGAAATTAAATTCCAAAACTTTGTAGCTTTGGACTGATTCTCTTTCTTTCCCCTCTCCGCATGTTTCCAAACCTTCTCTTTTCACGTCATCATCTTCTGCTTTCAGAAAATGTACAAAACCATGTACGGTACTATACGGTATACTTTTTTGGTCAGATTTATGATATAATTAAGAACATGCAAGGACTCACACTATTCACTAAAACATAGGTATTCGGTGTTGTGTGAATATTTGAATCAACCCATTCAAACCCCTCGTGGGTACAGCAAGTCGCAGCATCATTTTTTTATTTACTATTCAAAATAACTCAATCTTATGGAACTATAAAGTCACACAAAGTTTCCTATTCAAACACAGAACCGGTTAATTGGCAACCAAATTCCAAATGTCCCCCATTTTTCTATAACATGTGTATTTTGCCAAATCGTATTTGCCTAATGACTCTTCCAAACTTGTGTAGTATATAAGACTCTGGGAAGTGCCATATCACATATTAAACTCTTCTGTGCGCATGAAACTATAAACAATCTCACTCTTTACTACTAGGTAAGTCATATCTCACCCTTCTAATTAAATTCTCTTAACATTAGTTGCTTTATGTATATGCTTTTTTACGTGTATATTTATAGATAGCTATCCCATGCACTCTCAGTTTTTAGTTTTGAACATTGGTTTGAATGGCATTACTGTTTTTTTGGTGACTGATTCAGTCTTTGATCTTTACTATTAGATGTCTTGAGGAAATGAAATATATGTGTAGTTTTTGTTCTGAGAAGTGTATGTTCAGTTCTTCTTCCTGATTGCAACTTTCACGCTTATGTGTCTCGATCAAGTTGTTGCATTAAGTTTGTCTCTGCTAATTATTCATGAGTACTAGAAAATGTAAAGCACAGTGTTGCTGATTTTTGCATAGGAATGGGAATTTTTGCGGTAAACAAGGAAGGAGAGGTCTCAGTGAGCTTCAAGAACGACATAAATTTGAATGATTTTTATAAGCCTGATCAGATAGCTGATGCCACTACTGAACAATCTACAAACTTGAAGAGAAGGAAGGTGGGAAACCTGAAGCTCCAAACCGCATTCTCATTCAAAAATATGCTTTCGCAGAATTGTTGTTCACAAGAGGACTTGTTCAACAAACAAAAACCAAAACAAATGTTTTCTCCAACGTCCTCTGCCCAGCTTGAATTAGCAGCAATTAAGCTTCAGAAAGTTTACAAGAGTTACAGGATCAGAAGAAATCTGGCTGATTGTGCAGTTGTTTGCGAAGAGCTGTGGTTTGCTCAATATCCAACTCTATTATTGTCTTTTCTTTTTTGAGCTTAAATTTTCATTCCGTACTAATTTTTAGCCTCTTCTAAAGATAAAAGGACACTTTTTGTCAAATATAGATATTAATTTAAGCATTTTTTTTAAGTTTGTATGAGCGAAACGAATTCAATGATTTGTGCTCAGTGAACTCTAAAAATCGGCTGTCTTAAGTTTTTTTTCTTTGGTCCAGGTGGAAGGACTCAGTGATTACTGCTAACAGGTGCTCTATATCCCATTTTGACTCTGATAAATCAGAAACAACTATTTCAAAATGGGCAAGAGCTAGGATGATGGCTGCTAAGGTATTCTTTAATATTAGAAGCCAGAAACTTTAATCTACTTTGACTAAGGAATATCTTTTTATGTACTCTGCTTCAATATTTGGGCCCATATTAGTCTTCTTTGAACCATTTTCATTGCCCGAAAGATAATGTACTTAACATAATTTGACCAGGACCACAGAGACGTATTCAAAGTTTGCAATCTCTTTTCTGAGAAAATTTCCTTCAGGATCTTCTTGAATGACAACCATTATACTTTTTTTCTTTCTCTGTTGTTAGGTGGGAAAAGGTTTGTCCAAAGATGATAAGGCACAGAAATTAGCACTAAGACACTGGCTTGAAGCTGTAAGCATATCTGTCTACATCTTGACTTTGTATAAATTCATTTTTTCTGAAGATAATAATTTTTCTTTTGTTTGGTCTTATATTCTTTTAGAATCCAAAGAAGTCAAATTAATTGGGGCCTTGGTTTCCTTATATTTTTCAGATTGATCCCCGTCATCGTTATGGTCACAATCTTCATTTCTACTATGAAGTCTGGTTTCGTAGCCAGAGCTATCAGCCTTTTTTCTACTGGTAAATTGTTAATGGGGCAAGGGCTAGTATGGACTCCTGTAGATGCTAAATGCCTTAGTCTGAGAAAACTTTAATCCCTCTTTTCTAATTTCTTAATTGTATCTTGGTGATATGAAGGTTGGACGTTGGAGATGGCAAAGAAGTGAATCTTGAAGCATGTCCTAGAAGGCAATTGCAAAGGCAGTGCATAAAGTACCTTGGACCCGTAAGTTCTTTCATGATAATACTTGTACTAATTCTATAATGCAACAGTTGCATCTTATTATGTGACATTGGTACTTGTGCATTGAATGCACTATAGACTTCACCTATGATGAGTTTATTTTATGTTTTATGATGTTTTTGCTAAGTCAACAAAGTTTTCTTTATGTTAAAAAGTTTCAACGTTGTTCCTTGAATTTTGCAGAAAGAAAGGGAAGCATATGAAGTGATTGTAGATGGAGGCAGGCTTGTTTATAGAGAGAGCAAGGACCTTGTACACACTACCGAGGAATCCAAGTGGATTTTTGTCCTTAGCTCATCTAGAATTTTGTACGTTGGACAGAAGAAGAAAGGCCAATTTCAGCACTCAAGTTTTTTAGCTGGTGGTGCTACCATTGCATCTGGAAGATTGGTTGCACAACATGGAGTTCTTCATGTATACTACAATCTGTTTTCTACGTATACACACAATAATGTTAGCACTAAATTGATCATTTTACATCTTATGCAGGCTATATGGCCCTATAGTGGTCACTACCGTCCAACAGAAAAGAATTTCATGGAATTCATTAGCTTCTTGGAGGAACACAAAGTGGATATGACAAATGTAAAGGTAAAACAATTTAAAAGCATCTTACCCAGATAGCTTTGTCAAAATGGCCATCAATATAAAATCACAAAGCATCAATTTGCTGAAAATTTCCTGAACCATCTGCAGAGAGATCCAATGGATGAAGATGTCCCCCCTTCTCAACCTGTCAATGAGGTGCTGCCATTTGACTACATAGATGGCAATGTGTGTGGCAATGACACTGCCACTGCCACTGCCAATAACTATGGTAAAGAAAATTTGAGCCACTTTGGTACCAATGTGGAAGGTTCAATTGAGGAGAACAAGCCCATGTCAAGCAAATGGACTACTGGAGTAGGTCCTCGGATTGGTTGTGTGAGAGAGTATCCAACAAAATTCCAAGTTCAAGCACTTGAACAACTCAATCTTTCACCTAGAGTGAACCAGGGAACATTTGCAGGCAAAGCACCTATTCCTTCTCCGAGACCCAGTACAAAACATCTGTCACCTAGGCTTGTGAACATGGGACTTCCTAGCCCAATGGTACATCTTTAGGGTCTTTGGACATCCAAGTGCATGGTGGACACTGTTTTAGTTTTAGCATTTGAATTTGGATCATTGGTACATAATACAGTATTATAAAGGTCACAAAGGTGCTAACCTAATAGTTTTTTGTTCTTTTTTTCATTTGGGTTTCTATTCGCCAATTATTAGGGTCAGTTTGTTTCTGTTGAATTATTTTTTCCCTGCCCCTTAATTGCTTAGTTTCTTATCCAATAGTTGTAAGGGGTTAGGTTGATAGTCCATTCTTGTGTAAGTCAAATCACATTTGCAAATACAACTATTTTTATTAACCTTTTTCTCCTTTTTTTTTATATATGTTATATACTCAGTTGTAAAACCATATTTTTCTTTTCTAGAGTATACACTACTTATTGAGTAATATATTGAGCTTAAATAGTCCTCTTTATTTATAAATATAAAGTAAGACATTAAATCTATGTTAAGATCAATGAATTTATTGTTATTGAAAAGAAATGAAAGGACGGAATTGAATGGATGTACCATCTTTGTATATATGATATAAACAGATTTGCAAAGAAAGTTTAGTGGATCCATGTATTATAATTTACCTTCAATTAAGAGAAGAAATATGAAGAAAGTTAACTTTTCAAGATGCACTATCTATATTACCCTTTTATCAACTTTTGTTATAATTCTCTCTATTTTATCATTCATAATCATTTATTTTTTTTATTATTATATTATTTTTACTTATATTAACATTTTTATTTTTAATATAAATTTATATTAATCATTATATATATATATATATAATCATATGTCAATTAATTATATTTTTATTGTAATTAAATTATATTATAAACAAAATATTGATCATTAATTTTATATTTAGATCATAAAATTAAAAATATATAAATCATAAAATTTTTAGAAAATAATACATAAATTTATATAATAAATAATCGATTATATTAAAAAATATTATTATATTTATCATATATAAATTAATGTTACAATATATATTTTAATTTATACGTGATTTTATAGTTTTTTATTATAATAAAATTATAATTATATTTAAATACAAATTTATTTTTTTAATAATGTTATTGATTTTTTTATATAAATCTTTTTATTATATTTTAATTTTCTTAATTAGTATTTCAAATAATTTTTTATACATGATTTTTAATTAACAATTTATTTATTTATAAAATTTAAAACTTTAAAAATTAAATACTTTTTTATAAAATAATTTATTTTTATTTTTATTATATTTTAAGTAAGAATATTTTAGTAATTTAATAAATTATTCTATTAATTCTTTTATTATTTTATTTGTTATTACAAAAGTTTTAATTATATTATAATTTTTTTAAATTTTTACTTAAAATAAATTTGTATACATGATTTTTAATTAATAATTTAAAATTTATTTTTATATAATTTTAAAATTTTAGAATTAATTACTTTAAAAATAATTTATTTTTATTTTTATTCAATTTTAATTAAGAATATTTTAAAATTTAATAAATTATTTTATTAATATATTTTTTTATTTCAAATCAATTATAAAATTTTCTCTCATTTCTTTTCACTTTTCATTAATGCAAAATTTTAAACAAATATTAATAAAAAATATACAAAATTATTTGTATACTCTCTATTATTTGCATGGAGATATATATTTGTAAGAATTTATGTATAATTCCATTCAGTAAAAAACTTATGATCAACCTTTTAATTATATTTAATATATAAAATAATATTAATATATTTAAATATTATGTTAAATAGATTAAATAATATTATTATATTCAAGTATATTATAATTATCATTTAACTTAATTTATTTATTTTAATAATAAAAGTATTTTTATCATTACACTAAAAAAAGATTATTATTCAATTTTTTATATTTAGTGAGGTAACTATATCAACTACAATAATAAATTTACTATTTTTTTTCTAAAACCAATTAATTTTACATTCACTCTACTCACTCAATTCACACGACTTCAATTCAATTCAAACATAAGAGAAGTTTCTGTTATTAAAATGTTTCGTATTTTTCAAATATAAAAGTGGAAATGCATATCCCTATGCTTCTCAGAAGATTATAAAAAATATTTTTTCTATACTTTCTTTTTCAGTAGTCTTATATTCTTTTATATGTATCTTTTTCTATTCCTTATTAAGGGTCGGTGAATTATATTACCCTAAAAAAGAGAAAAGTAATAAGGTTCAATGAATCATATTCTAAGAAATATAAAATTATGAATTTAAACAAGTACAATTATTCAATGACCAAAAATATTAATAAAAAAAATAATATTATTTAATTAATATATTTAATTTTAGTGAGATGTTTGAGTTTGTACATTAAATATTTCCGCATAAAAAATGTAGAAATGGACTTATTCGTTAAAACAATTTTTTTTTTTTTTAGAATTTGGTTTGTGTAAGTAAAACAATAAAATAAAATAAAAAAGTTCACTATTTTATTTAAATTATGAATATAAGTATTTAGTTTTTCTGTTGATATAAGTTAGAGCAATGATTTTTTTTAATAATCGGTACAACTAAGTAATAATTAAAAAATATTAATATAATAATAAATATTATTATTTAATTAGATATATTTAAGATGCCACACAATATTTTAGTATAAATTATGCTTTATAAAATAAGATATCCCTGTAATAAGGTATAAGATATTGGGTGGCTTAGTCATATTGGGCCTTATTCTAATGGGCTTGTGTAGGGGTGAGGCTATGTCCAGAATCCGCGGATAGCTAGTGATAGGGTCAAATCGGAGCGTGCTTGGGAAATAAATAAAGAAAAAAAAGATGAGTTCTTTATTTTGAGTATCCAACATCTAGTTACCGTTATGGTCTGATTTGACATTCTTTTTCTTCCACCAAAACATTTTCAAATTTCAAAATTTCCTTCTCTCTCAACCTTGCCTTAATTAAACCCCAACAAGACAACACAAAGCTCCATACTCTCTCTTACACCAAACTAAAACCCACAGAATTCTCTCTTTCACAATACTCCCCTACCCGCTCCATTTGCTCTGGAAAAACGGTTACTTTTTTCCAATGGGTGCTTCGGGAAAATGGTTCAAGTCATTTATTCCTTTTCGAAAGACCTCAACTTCAACAACTGATCAGGTAAGTGAAGTAACCCACTAATTTTGTATGGGTTTCAATTTGGTGTTGTCGTTCTCTATTTACTGAGTATGAGTAATGTAATGCGTAATCAGGAGAAGGGTGGTGAAAACAAGAGCAAGAAGAAATGGAAACTATGGAGGGCTTCTTCAGAAGGGTCCACCGTGAAGAAAGTTGGCGATGCTACTCTGCCTGATTCTTCCTTTACTTATGCGGTGGCTGTGATGGTTCCCAAAGATTTCAAGCTCATCAAGCAGGAATGGGCTGCCATCCGCATTCAGGCTGTGTTTCGAGCCTTTTTGGTAACTTCCAAGCTCATGCATGCATTGACCTATAATTTAAGCTTGTTGAGTTTATGCTTTCCAATATATCTAGAATTATTTACTTGAATCTTAAATTAGACCCATGTTTATGATAGATATGACCTTGAAATTTAAATTTCCAAGTTAGGATCAAGAAGAGTTAAGAAGTAAAGTTAGGAGTTGGGACCTCCTGGTCTTAGCATGATATCATCACCTATGGAGTTTGATTTTGTACAAGATCCACCAATAGATCGAAATTCAAAAAAAGTGGAGTGCCTGTGTATTTATGATGTCAAATAAGCTCAGATCAGAGCTCATATCAACCCAAGTGAAATTGATGTTTCATATTCCTAGTCCTCTTTTTAAGTGTCTCTTGTGATTAGTATATTAGGAATGTGTCCATTCTGCTTGCATCTTTCTATTCTTATGTTCTATTTTTGTATTTTTCATGTTGAGCTTAATTCTGTTGATGCGCTTTGCAGGCTAGACGAGCTTTGAGGGCCCTGAGGGCAGTGGTAAGGCTACAAGCTATTTTTCGAGGCCGGCTAGTCAGAAAGCAAGCAGCTGTCACTCTGAGGTGTATGCAGGCTCTTGTTCGAGTTCAGGCGCGTGTGAGGGCAAGGAATGTGAGGAATTCTCCTGAAGGGAAAGCAGTGCAGAAATTACTTGATGAGCATCGCAACCTAGCTGATCCTTTTAAGCAGATTGAGGTTAATAATTTGCCTCAAGATAATGTAACATTAGAATTCTGAGTTTAACATATTATGAGATGCTAACATGCAACATTTTTGCTGTGATTATTATCAGCAAGGATGGTGTGACATTCCTGGAACCATGGATGAAGTTAAAGCCAAACTACGAATGAGGCAAGAAGGAGCTATCAAGAGGGATAGAGCAATGGCATACTCTCTCTCCACACAGGTAATGAAGTTGGGAAGATTTACTTTGTATATAAGCGTGTTTCTTTGGTAAGATTTAGTAGTTAACAACTTCATCTGCTTCAATATATATTTTGTTTGCATGTAGCAGTCAAGACTGATTGCCAGTCCAAATCCTAAAGCCACTAATGCATTGATCCCTCTCAAGCATCACAACCTAAGCAATAAGAGCTTAGGATGTAACCTGTTAGAACGCTGGATGGAGGCCAAGCCTTGGGAGAGTCCAATCTCCAGGAGGAGTGAAGACGTTGTTCCTGCTTTTCAATCAAGAAAGAATGGTGTGACAACTAGGATTTCAGCTTTTAAACCTCTTATAACCAGTCAATCCACTCCATCATCCTCGGCCATAAGCTCTGAATACATGTGTGATGATAGCCCTGCGTCAACTTCTTATTCAGCTGGATCTCCGTCTTTTACATCCACCAATACTGTTTTAGTGGAAGCAACAGAGGAAAGAGATGTTCATCAACCGAGCTACATGAATTTGACAGAATCAACCAAGGCTAAGCTGAAAACTTGCCGGAGTTCTTCTCAGAATTCAAAGAGTCTTGTAGTGGAGGAGTGTGTGTCTCACAGCACAACCACAGGTTGGATGATGAATGGAGATACTAGAAACAGTTCTAATTCTGACCCTTCAGTTAACTTAAGGAAGGATTATTGTGCAACACCTCTGAGGGCAAGTTATCAAAAACGACAAATTGGGATTTGAGTTTCTGTAACAGTGGCAACAGCTTGTTGTCCAGTACCTCCTTTTACTGATTGAGATGAACATGCGTGCAAGTTAGGATAAAGGGCTAATTAACATTGTAGATAACATAAGTGGTTTTGTTTTGTGTGAAGAATGAAATAGCAAAACTAGTACACACTATTATAATCTGTATGGTGTTTTGCACAATATTATATGTGTAAGTGGCTCTGTGTGTGAATTATCAAACTCGAGTAGAAATCGAGCTTAATATGAAGACAATATTATATTCACCTTTGGAAAACTAATCGATGCATTGTTTTTGTCTCCTACAATTGTTGTGTGATCTATAAACACGACCTTGAAAATTCCATTGAACTGAATACATCTGTGCATGTGCAGATAGTTAGGACTTATTCTTGATTTTTGTCTAACTGCTGAACTATTTTTTAAGTCATATTTACTATTATACACACTTTGTAAGTTTGACCCTGGTTGTACACCTTCAAACCTCTTTTCATTTGATATTTTATGGTTTTATCAAGCAAGAGAAACAAATGCCAATAAAATTCAGCTACTGTTCTAACTCCTTTCCCTTTATGACTAATAAGAGCAATATGTTGCAGCCTGTAACATTGTCCGTTGCAGGCTTGGTCCCTGGGCTTCAATTAGGAACCAATGCTCATCTTAACATACTACATGCCTTGGTTGTTGGGCTTCAATTGGGAACCTCTTTTTTGGAAAAATAAAAACTACACGCAATGCTGAGCTAGACTTCCTTCATAATATTTAAATTGCTAGTTCGATTGAGAAATTGTTGGGTGACTTGTGATATTATTAATTTTTTATGATATCTATTTATGTACTGCTGTTTTTTTCACAAATAAAAAAAAAAAATAGATGTCACACAAAGATTAAGAGAGTAGGGACCATGTAAAGGTGGAATCTTAAACTAAGTAATAAATCTTGAATAAACCACTTAATCATTTCTCTTTGCTATTTAATATCTTAGACTGAATCTATCATAAATAGTTCTTTTATTAGTTGTGGACCAAAAATAAAAATCATGTTTGTTTTTTCTGCATCAGTGGCTCCATCCCTCGACCCAAAACTGCAGAGCAGTAACTGTCAATACGATGGGAAGGATGCAAAAAACATCGATTCAAGATTAGAGATGTGTAACCTTTATTTGACAAAGCTTATCTCCACTTAAGCAACAAGAATAATATAATAGCTAGTAGAATCACGTGGTCCAATTCATAATAATATGTAATGATGCAACATGCAGTATGGTCCAGTTCCAGTCAATCATGCAGGGACCACAGTTATTACAGTCACAATTGAAGTATTTGTGCATCATTTAACTGCTGAAAAAAAATACTGGTAGACACAAAATAATACTGATGAAACATCTTGAGTGCCAAATAGACCAAACAATGGCATGTTTCATAGGTCAATTTCAGGAGCATGGACGTATACTGATGAGGGTTAGTGAGTATTAGTTTGACTTGTGTATACTGCATGCCTACGTGCACAAGACGAGGCTGCTATAGGCTTTTCACGTGAGAATATGCGCTAACAAAGGCAAGAAATCAGGATGCCACCAAAAGTTGTAAAAAAAATTGAATGTCATTTGATGGGATTCTCAAGTGAGGGAAAGAAAAAGTGTGTGATGCTTTCTTCAATTTGGAGTAAGTGTGCAAACTTCCTTTCATGGGGGATTGCCATGAATAGAAGGAAGACGAAGTGGGGGCAGTGGGGCCTTATAGGAGGCCTATTTTCTTGGATATCCCTTTTTCTGTAGGGCATTTCTAGTCTTGTTTCCTTGCTTTATGAAGAATATAACCTCTGTTTTCTTTTTCTTTCTTTTTTTACCATTATTTGCACTGGCCATACTCATCAATACTAATGTGGCCCTTTAGCTCTGTGTGCATCACTTTTCAATTATTGATTGACTCATCAAAATTCAAATTTAAGCTTGTTCATTGATGCATTATAATATCTTAAATTTTGTGCTTATCTAAAATTCACTTTCCTTAAGCATATTAGAGTTAATCTGTCATCTCAGTTATGAGTTCAATATCAGTTCAGCTCAGTTAGATTACAGTTTGTTTATGCAAGAATTATAGTTTTTCTGATGAAATATAGAATTTATATACATATTATGGTTATTTACCATGGTAGCAAAAGAGATTTGAAGATAACTTTAGGTGAGGCATATGCAACTTTTCTTTATTTGGATTCTCGTTGTATCTCAAGGGACAATGCATCTTGATTTCTTTCCTTGTATCACGAAAATTCCCCACCCTCACGAGAGGGGGAAAAGCAAGAAAAAGAGGAGGAAACTAGCATTTGACTGAAAATGACCCATACCAAAACCAATCTGAAATCAATAGAGGACAAAGAATTACATGGCATTCTTTCATGTACTTGTTTTGATATCTCTGTGAGTGAAGAAAAAAAACAAAAGACTCTGACAACAAGAGTCCTTTGATGGCTCAACAAATAAAGAAAAAGAGCCCAGTAGTATTAAATGTTGCATGTGCAGCAATTAATTAGGAATCTTGTTTTAACTAGCTGTTTCTTCCATCATAAGCTTGCCAAGCTCATACTTTTTTCTCTCAGAAGCAACAAATTATAAGAACTCCGTGCTGTCTGTTTCACAGCAAGAAAAAAACTTGTTCTTAGCTTTTATTTTACTACATATGGCATTCTTCAAAGGGCTACCTGCCAGTTGTAATTAATATCACCCCAAACCCATAATTTTGTTGTGTTCTGTGTTCAAACTTCAAAAAAACTAGTTTCTCCACCACACACTCCTGCATAACAAATTGGATCCACTTTTAGCTAATAGAACCAGAATATGCTGAAAAAACCAAGACTATATGTATCTTTCATAGAAGATAATCATGCTCCAATTTGTTGTGATCAATGCAAACGCCAAAACTCTCAAGTTTTAACCTTGTTTAATGCAGATATCCAACATCCAAGACACAAAAACTTCAAGAAAAAATTTGTAACTCTGATAGAACACATACTTTTGAACTCCCTAGGCATCCAAACATGCACTACATTTATGAGGTTTATGTGGAGATGTGCGAATAATAAAACCTGAAAGGACAAAGAATGGTCAAACAGAATGAGTATGCAGCAATAATAGCCAAACAATGACATGAAAATAAGGTTGCCTTTAGTTTATGCTTCATTTTTTTTGGCCACCCACATTCCAATTGTGAAACACTCTTGCTTTAGCGTTAATCATTCAAGATCAATAATATATGCAACAATTAACACCCAACTACATAAACCAGAAAACAAAGCTTGAAATGAAAAAGAAAAATGGGAGGAGTAAATTTAATAATCTTAATGATGAGAAGGTGCAGTTAATAATTTAGGGCATCTCATCTAGAAAGGATTTAGATGAGGCAATTATTTTTAGTACTACTTTACATATGGAATCCCCCAACAGGGTGCAAAAAAAAAGCAAACTTTTTTCCCCAGCTGCTTTTGCTGGCCATGGATGGATGGAAATGAAATACGTACACAAAGTGGCCGGCAATTATATTCTTCATGTTGTCCCCATTGCCTTCTTTCCAGAGCTACCATTTTCTGGATGCAAATCCCACAACACATGTTCTTTCACATTTTTTACCATTCTTTATTCATTCTTAATTATACAAAAATTTTGTGAATTTATAACTCGTTGAATCATTTGGACTCGACCCAGAAACTGTTTTGATGGTTTCTCTTAAAATCATTATCATGCTTTTATAAAAGGATAATTGAATGGTATTTTAGAAAAAAGGAATCATAGTTACAGTGTCTTAAATCAAAGATAATTTTATGTTTGTTAGAAGATTATGAAGATTAGAAGTTGGCAAAAGAATGCATTGGAATGGTAAAATAAAACATTTTGAAGTGAATGGTGAAGAATGCATTGGAATGCGAAAGGGGCAAAAGACTAGACAAAATCTCACCAACAGATTCAGTAAGAATAACATATTCACTGATATAAATATAAATTCTCTTCATTAATAATAGTGAGAGATATTCACAAATATTTTTAAAAAAATATTGGTAATAAAAATAATTTAAAGATATTGGATACAGAGAAAAATTAAATAATTAATCATATAAATAAATACAGATAAATTGTCGAAAAAATAAGGTTATATGTAAAGTTTAAGGTTTTATCTTTTTTATTAATTATAACTTTATGTTTTTAATTATATTTAATACCAGGATATCTTTTTAATTATATTTATTAAAAGGAGTGATTTTGGATAAAAGAAAAATATTAAAATAATAAAGATATTATTAAAAAAATGAAAATTTATTAAAAACATTAATAATTAATTACTTTCTTAATTTGTATAACCAAGGACATATATTAACAAAGAGAAGAAATATTAATTTAAAATTTATATTCAAAATTAATATTAACAAAACCATTTTACTAAATACATTCTTTATTTCTTGATTTCTTAACACCCTGAATGATTTATGTATTCTTACTACCTATAGTTTATTTTTTTGTCAGATAAATTTATTTTCACTCTTTAACAAATATTATAAGTTCATTAGTTAATATTTTCTCATATTAATTTAAAATTTTGTTTACTTTCATGCTAGGAATAATGAGAATTAATTTAGTTTAATCCAAAGTTGATTTTATACAGTAAAACATTTGGTTATCAACTTATTACTAAGTAAAATTCACTTTGTCTTAGAAATTCCGTTTGGGTAAATTTTTTTAAAAGAAATGGATAAAAAAATTAGGCTAAATTTATGTCTAACTAGTGTTGACCGAAAATATCCAAACATAAAATTATTTTACTTAAAAAATAAATTTATAAAATCAATTCATTCAAATTATTTATGTAAATATTCGTCAAACACATTCTCAAATTTAGTTCATGACGATTTGAAATTATTAGAAAAAATAATAATAACCTGTAATCCTTAATTATAAAAGATATAAAAAGAATAGGATGTTAAAACAAGTCTAAACTATATTTTAAAATGAGCTAATTTTTTATATCTAACTTGTCCTAAGTTGTGGCAACAGATTAAAAAATTATTTTTACTTAATTAAAAATAAAAATAAAAATAACTCTTTATTTATATAATTTTTTTGTTAAAAAAAAGATGTCATTTATTCAAAATTAATTCAATCTATTTTGATAAAATAAAATCATAAAATATTATAGTACATATATTTTGATATTATTATTATAATTTGAACGTTTAAAATGTTACAAAATAAAATTTATTTATTATCAGCGGTTAGAATAATGTAACTTTTGAGAAATTATAATTGAACAGGTAAGTCAAATATATTCTATGAGATATATTAGTTAATATATTCTTAAAATATACTTTACAAAAATTAATAATAAAAATGTTTTTAATAATTAATTTAAAATTATAATTCAAAATATTATTTACCTTTTAAATTTTCTTATATTAAACATAGCTAAATAGAATATAATTATTAAACTTAGAGTCAATTTTTTATTATTTCAATAAACTAATTTTATTATTCAATATAACACTCATTCTCACATCAAAACTAAATAAATCAAATTAAAATTCGTTTTATTTTATTTAGACCATAATTTTATTTTTGTCTAATTTAATTATTTTTGGACTAATAATGGAGTTAAACTTATTTTAAAAAATAAAATTAATATTCTAATTGAGAAATTTTAAATTAGAAACTCAAATTAAAAAGTTAGTAATAGTTTAAAAAGTTAGTGATGCCGTAGACCTAGATTTTATCTAAAGTATACCATTTTTTAAAAGTGTGTGTTATTTACATAAATTATATTTTAACATCAATTCAAATATTTTAAGGATACTTTGCTTTAAGAAAAAAATAACTTTATCCTTTATGATGAGCCCAAATCCCTATAAGCAAAAAGAGAAGAGTATAACCGGACCCTTCTAGACAAAAAAGGAAAAGTACTGCCCACGAAATTTCTAATTTCAACTTTCCCCCTCTAATTTTAATATTTTAAACTTTGTTCAAATATTATCACAATTATATTTTATTTTAAGAGAATATTACTTTTACAATATTTTTCTTGTCATATCATTATTATATATTTAATACGATGAAGAAAATAAACAAAAAAGTGTGTACTCTACTTTTTCTTATTTTAAATAAAAAAACTTATAAAAAATATTTTATTATAATAATTGACATAAATAATAACTTTCTTAAGATGTATATATATATATATATATATTAATAAACTATATTTTGTGAAAATTATTTTAAGATAAAAAAAGGACAGACATTCTTATTCTCATAAAAAACAAAAGTTGTTTATATTATCAACTCAATTACATAAATAAAGACATTGAAGTTCCACAAAAATTTCACTAATCATTGATCTCCATAGCTCTAATAATTAGGTTTAGGGTGCATAGCTAGAGTAATATAGGGTGGATATATTTTTTTAAGTGGAATCATTACATATACTTTATATTTCAATATATTAATTAAATGTATAAAAAAATGTCTTCCATTTAAACCAAAATAAGAACATTAATTAAAATTTAAAAAGCATTTTTTTTTATGAATAATATTTCCTCAATGTGATTTTCCATGAATTTAAAGTAAAATGATTCTCTTTATTAAATGTTGACCAGTGGAGAATAAAAAAATAAAATCATTGATTTTTTTTTTTTATTTGGGTATCTATCTATCCATCAGTGCTGTATTATTTAATCATACGTAATAACATAAAGGCAACTTTAAATTTATTGTTATTTGAATTGAGATGAAGGAAAAACATTAAATCAGAAGCATATCTTTTCACTAAAAAAACAAGATTCAATTTTTATTTTCAAAATTTAAAAACTTGTCATCTCTTATTTCATTTTCTTTTGTCTCTTCATAAAAAGATAAATATATAAATTATACAATCATGAAATTTTTTTTTTTTAAATGTTACAAATTTTAAATTTTCATGTTATAAAAATACAAAGCTCATTGCGAGGGAATCTTGCTATCTAAGGACAAATAATAACCATGCAAATTATGGTAATGGTTGTCGTCAACAAACAAAAGGTTGCGTTGTGGATTAGAAAAAGTTATAGTTTGGACAAACTAATTAATTATATCTACGCTTCATGGATCCAAATTATGATTAAAAAAAACCCCATAAAGTTGTTGATTGTTAATCAAAATTATGAACTAAAATTAACTTATGTTTAAGTTAATTATAATTTTTATATTAGTTTTCCTAAAAACTATTTTAACTAATAAAAAGATTCACTTTTTCAATTTTCTTGTGTTTATAAAAAAGTTGACATCATTGAAAAGCCGTTTTTTCAATAGTTGTGATGAGTTCTCTTAATTAAAACCACCTCATTTGTTCTTCCCCTTTGAGATGCTAATTAATTAATGTCTTGATTCATATACTTTCAAAGTTTCGTAACACTATGCAATTCAATGTATCTTCTTCTTAAAGATATGACCCTGCAAGTCTTATCACAAATTTGGAATGAATTGTACATTATCATGTCACTTTTCAATTAAACTTGGTTAGTCTCAATAAGCATAAGAATGATTAATCATCATTACTTAAGCATTTATTCACTCAAGTAGTCAAGCATATAAGGGTTTGAACGCATACACCATTTTAAAAATCATATATTACAGCTACAACAATGTCATACTTTTATATATCAGTAAACTCTTTCTCTAACAAAAGTATTTTCTCACAATATTTATTTCAGTTTTTCATTTCATAAAATAAATTTCATGCTTTCAAGATTCTCTAATAACAATATTCTGTGTTACATAAGTTGAAATCATTGGTTATATATATATATTAGCTTTGATGGGTTTATCATCACAATAGGACCACTTAATTAGCTTATTACTTTATTATATTTTTTGTTTCTTTTGAATTGCTTCAAAAGAAAAAACCATAGTATATTTTTTTTAAGATTCATGTTAGAAGATTTGGGTATATGCTATAGAAGCTCATATTTCACTGAAAAAGGAACACGTGATGATTAAGTAATCCAGCAAATAATCACTACCTTTGACCGCGTTTGGTGGCAATTTTCCAAAGTTCATAAGCACCACTCTTTTTACTCTTTTGGACAGATCTTCCAAACATTTTCTTGAGAAATATATAACTCCTTTTAAATGAGCACTATTTGTTACATAAAATAATAATAAGAATGTTAAAATGTCAAGCATTTGAATCGAACCTAATTCATGAAATGTCTGTTCACTGAAACATCTAGAAACGTTCTATAAATTATGCAGAAGATTTTATGCAGAGAAAACTAGTTCATGAAACTACTTACCTGCTTCTACTTTTTGGTTTTCGAACGTAAATCTCTTTTGATCACATACTAATTGTGGCCCTTAATCATCATCACTGTTGTTAATTGGATTCTCTGATGACTAGCAAAGTCTCAAAACACATGGTGCTGGAAAACAAAACCTTTATGAATAAGAGTGAAATAATTATGCATAGGTAGCTTCGGGAAATATAATCTGTAAAATGAGTTGTGGAGGGCCAAGTTGCAGGAAGTGCATGCACAACTTTTGCATTGGGATTAAAAAAATAATCTGATCATAAATACAGTATGATAGAGGGCCTTGGCCACCTTTGTCTTCCCCTTAACTCTACCTTTAATTTTGATGCTTTTCATTCAAAATCTTTTACAACTTTATATATACATGCATGCAATATATTGAATAATAAAACTGACATATAGTGGTTCGAGCTCATGAAATGGTTCACATGAGAAAAAAGAAAGTTATATACAAACTACCTTTAAAACGGTTATTTTTTTCTCACACAATTACCAAATCTTTTTTACATTTTGTTGCTGTTGTTGTTGAATTCCAATGATTGAAAAAGTGATTCATTCACCTTTCACCCTTGCAATTATGCAGAGTTACCGCTCTGAAAGGAACAAAAAAAAGAAAACTGGAGAGGTAATTAGGTAATCAAATTGGTAAGGCATCAATCTATGATTAGTGTTTGTATCCATAAAGCAACTGAGATGCAAGTGTCACCAACCAACCCGGTTGAAAATAATTTCTTTAACTGCGTGTGTCCAACGTGAATCTGCTAGCAGGGTGGGCCCCACCACCCTGCATGTGTGCCACGTGTCCTATCCAGCCCATCCCAGAGTGAGCTAACAAGGATCCATTATAAGGCCTACAATTGTTGCAGTGTCACACTGCACATTTTAGCCCTTTGCTACAAACCCTAACTGGGCCACAATGGTACAGCTTCCCACATTAAATTCACCACCTCAGTGTACTCACACCTTCACCATATCATCCATCTTCTGTTCAGTCCCCTCTCACCATTCCTTTCACATTTCCATATAACCTCTTGTAACCTAGGGCTAAAGCTACTCCCTACAACTTCCCTTCTTTGTGCTCCTCTTACCCTAAGCCTTATATACACAACTCATCTTTCATATTTTATTCATATTCAAACATAATACCAAAACTGATCTTTGTTTTCCCATTGGCTCTCTGTACTGGTGGTTTAATTCGAGTCTGAGGAATAATATACCCCAGAGAGAGAGAGAGAGAAAGAAAAAGGAAATTGAAGATATGGGGCATCACTCTTGCTGCAACAAGCAGAAGGTCAAAAGAGGACTATGGTCACCTGAAGAAGATGAAAAACTCATCAACTACATCACAACTTATGGACACGGTTGCTGGAGTTCAGTCCCAAAACTTGCAGGTTATTTATATTTTTATCACTATTCTGTCAATTCTGATATACTGCAATCTCTCATCCCTTCATTCATTTAATAGTATTCTAAAAACACTCATGAACTTCTTAGTTAAGTATATGGTTGATTATTCTCTGAAGTGCAGGCCTGCAGAGGTGTGGAAAGAGTTGCAGGTTGAGATGGATAAATTATCTAAGACCTGATTTGAAACGAGGAAGCTTTTCTCCTCAAGAAGCAGCACTCATCATAGAACTTCATAGTATTCTTGGCAACAGGTTTTATATTTTATTTTATTTTATGTAATAAATTTCCTTTTAAATTCCTTCTTCATAATCATTTCCCCGTCAATTGCTCTTTTTGATCGTGATCAGAGTGAGCATTATTATCAAAAGGTTTGTTTGTTCACTTTTCTTAGCAAGAGAGCATTGTTTTGGACAGGTGGGCTCAGATAGCCAAGCACCTACCTGGAAGAACTGATAATGAGGTGAAGAACTTTTGGAATTCAAGCATAAAGAAGAAGCTGCTTTCTCATGATGTTGTTCCTTCTTTAGCCACATTTTCTGATATTCACGGTCCTGCAAATGGTTCCATGGAAAGTTTCTTCCCTTTTACTGACAACCCTATCCTAAACTCCCATCATCACTTAGATCAGCTATACCTTCCCATCATCCCAACCCCAATCCTACAAGCCTTTGATCATCTCAACAACGATCTCAAGATTGACATAAATAATTATGATAATAATGCAAATTTCCTACATTTTCCGAATCCAATGCCAGAAACAGTGCCACCTTCCAATAACATCATTCCATCTTTGTATGAATTAGATACATGGTCGTCGTTCGGGTGTGTACCCATTCATCTTAATCCAACTCAAGAAAATCAAACAATGATCACCAAAAGTGATACCACCCCACATTTTATTGTCGAGAAATTCACAAATCCAAGTACATGGCAGCAGCACTCTGTGGAACCAACCATCGATACTGTGCCAAAAATGTGTGAGAGCATTGAGGATTATGTCTGTAGCATCCCATTTTCTTCTTCTGTCAATTCACAAGATCAACATGAGGATGCTGTTGCGTGTTACACACCTCGTGGTATTTGTCCACAAGATCAAATTGCAGCACCCAATCAAGTGGAGTTCATTGATGCCATCATCATGTCATCGTTGCCATCCTCAACAACATCGTCTTCATCAGTATCACTCTATCAAGCAGACAAATAGCCACAAAACCTATTATTCCTTCAAGTGGGTTGTCATCATCATGAGCATTGGTTACAATATTATATAATAGGTTACTTTTATGTATATAATTTAGTAGTGGTAGTCTTGTGATGAGCTCAATTAATTCCATGCATTTTAAGAGGGGGGGAAACATGCATTTAATTTCTCTTGAATTTTGGAATAAGAGGGTGAGTAGACATCCTTTTGGCAAACCTCTGAGCCATGCTAGTTCTGGCTCTCTTCCATTAAACGATGTTTGCTGAGGTTTCATAAATACGTGTAGGTTCTTTCACATGTTTGTCGACTAGAAGTAAGTATCCATGTATGATTTTTATTTCTCTTGTGAAGTGCTGTATGTTGTATAACAATCATATGCATAGTTGTGCACTTTAAGTTGACTCATTCCCCTTTGCTTTTCCTCTCTCTCTCTCTCTGACAACGTCGAACAAAGACAAAAACCGTACAAAACCATAGTCAACTTGTTGGCAAATGAGGCCAAAGTGCCATTACATCTGACCTAGCTAGGCTAGGGTGTTCTGGATGTTATATGACATACCATGTTCTGATGTGATCGCTTAAACAAGCACCAACCAATATAAACTGATATCTATCTATCAAAACAATACGGACTAATTGTGATTAAGAGAGCAACTTCATAACTTTAGATCTATGGCACAGATGAGTATCATATAATTCTTTGGCATCTTTCACAAGTTTTCTTTAATTTTAGCATAGAAAGAAAGTCCATTATCTTCAAATAAAGAAATAAGTTCTCTTACTTTTGCATGGTACCGTATATACTATGTAAACATCCTATCTTGAGTCTTGACATTTGCATTACCCGGAGAAAGTTCGATCTTGCTTATACTTTGGTTAAAGCTTTAGAAAAAGAATAAAGAACAAAACGTCACTTCCAGTCCTTTGATAAACAAAAGAAGAGTGACAAGAAAGATAGGAGATTGATCAACTGAAAGTTTAAGGGGGATCTATCTATCTATATATAAAGAATACAGAGAAAGAGTAAGTTTATCAATAAAAACTAAACATTCAGTTCTGGTGAGAAATAGTAAGAAATATAAAATTAAATTCTATATTTATAAATACATGATTGAAATCAAAATTAAAGTATAACATTAGTGATCACATAACTATTTGAAAAAGTCATTTACTTTAACAAGACTTGGGTTAGTTAATTTTAGTTATTAATCGTTTATATATGGTTTTATAATTCAAATATATATATATATATATATATATATATATATATATTACAATAATATAAGAGTTCTTGATATATGCTTTCTCAGAAAGAAACAGGCTATTCAATTTTATTTAAGTGATGAAAATTAAAAATTTATTTTAAGATTACTAATCACTTTAAAGGATGGCATGATTCAATAATTTTTTAACATTATCATGCATACATTATTTACAATACATTATTAAGACCAGTCCATCAGAAGATTTTCACATCACGTCCAAAAAAACTTGCTTTCCTTCTAATTTGATCGTTAGATTTTCTATTAACCTTAATTGAATTGAGTTTGCTAATGTTAAAAACCAAATAGGTTTTAGTTTTTGAACATATAAACCTAAATAACCCAATGGAAGTGTAAATTAATGTTACTGTTACTTGCATTCAAAACACCAATCAGATATGTATCAGTATCTTGCCCTAATAGTAAATGATTGTTCTCTCTGATCAGAATTGCCATTGAACTCATTGTCAATTGTTTTTGTCACGTTCCTTAACATTCGTTTTCTTCTCTTAAAATATTGAGCCAATCATATTAGACAGCTTAAAGTATACAAGGCACTGTAGAGAGAAAAAGACTTTTGACTTATAATTTGTATAATTGACTTAGAAGTTATGTTTAAGCATAATCTTTTATGACATCACACTCCATCCAAAATGTGGATTATATATATATATATATATATATATATATATATATATATATATATATATATATATATATATATATATTACTCATGTTATCCAGTTTTACACACAATGAAATTCTTACTCACATTTAAAAATTCATTACATGTTACTCCATGAAAACAATGTGAATGAAACCAATCAGAATATGTATGATTTGAGTCACCTAATTTGTGATTTATTCAGTTTGGACTTTGGAGTTTAACCCGAACAATCAAAACAGTATTCACCATAATTGTAAAGTGTATACAGAATGACAAAAATACAATGCAAAAACAAATTTATGAATTGAAAGTTTGGGTTCTTATTACCAACCTCACATTATAAAAGAAGCAGTAAATTAAAGAAAGGTTAAAACAGTTGGAGAGAGAGAGGAATGATAATGTTCCAAACTGAGAATGGTCGTAAGATTCCATTGGTCGTCTTAATGTTGGTTTATAGTTATTTGCTGTCTTTCTCTTACATGTTGTCCCTGTTTCTACTTCCTTTTCTTGTGTGTGCCGTTACCTAAGCACAGTGATGATAGTAACACAGATTTACTGTCCATGGTAATAATCCAAATAACCTACCTTTATTATTGTTCATAGCGAACATTCATATTCCAAAAATGAGTTTTCACAGCTGATACTAAAAACAAGGGATCATTGAGCAGTATTATAAACATGGTTAAGGTCAACATATATAACTACAAAACTGTGAGTGTTAACCAAAAATTACGTTTCTGCTTAATTAATTATGCAGAAAATGAGTAAAAAGGAATGAATAACTTGTTAAGGGAAAAAAGGGGTGAGAAATTGAATGAAATAAATTATTTTGACAGTGGTAGGGAAAGCATGATTGTGGTAGCATATGGAATCTTCTGAAAGAATCCAAGTTAGGGGGACAAAGGCCCTTTCAATCATGGAATGATTGTGGCATACCTACCCATTTGCCTTTTTCTTCTTCTCTGGATTCATAAAATTATGTTTGGATGAGCATGAAGTTGCATCCCTCATTTTGCAAATTGCAATAGAAAAAAAGAAGACACAGAAAGTTGGAGAAAGCTTCTTTCTTGTTCATCACAGTCGGCACCGCATTGCTTCAATAATTTGAAGGCCCCATAACCCTGGAAGTGGACTCATTGCTCTATTTTGACACAAGGGTGGGCCTTTGTTTTCACTCTAATCAATTTTTCATGGCTCAGAATCTTAGAAAGTGTTCTTTGTTATGGGCCAACTGTCTTCAGCATCATTTCATTTTATTAATCTTGGAGGCTTTTCTTCGCAGGTAATTCAGCAAGAAAGTAAGGTGAGAAAATTATATAAATAAAGGCTGCGTTTTCACTCTAACCCACCCCTTTTGCCACATCAATCTTTCTTCATACCCCTTTATCTGATTTTCTAGTGTTATTATGCTTCATTTCCTCCCTTTCCAGAGCATAGGCCAAGGTGACAAGACCATTAAAGGAAGGAAGACTTCACTCAGAATATTCTAGTTGATCTGATTTTTCATTATCTGAAATATTCACTGAAAGTGGACAAAAGATTAGATATTTTCAAAGTAACATGGTTAACCACTTGATTAAAGAATATAAATAGTTACTATATTATATGTTTCAATCATACAGATATAGTTATTTTTGGTATCAACTTTCATATTAGTTAATTATTGTACCCACATCAATACCAGTTAACATATTTTTGGGAAAAAAATTATCAGCAGTAGTTAGAGCATCTTCGAAGCACTGTCTGAAGCTGCTTTTATACTATAAGTGAGTTGCACCATAGGAGCAGTTTTGTGTCAGCAAGTTATAAATGGAATCTTGAATGACTGATCTATGCTTTGAATAAAACGTTCAGCTTCTGATATAAAATTAAGTGTTGATGAAATATGGGAAAGAAGATAACATGTTAGGCTAATTTGGTGAAAATTTCATGGTTCAAAAGTTAAAAATGAAATTTTCTTAAAAACAGGTAACATAAAAAGTGATGTCAATAAAAAATTAGTAAGATGAGGACCACTGCGAATTGAAACCAAAAATGATGTGAAGCAAGTTCATATAACAAAATTATAAAAAACCAGTGCTACTAAGTGAGACATATGACATTTATAATACAGAAACATGGAAGCGTAGTCCATTAACAAATCAAAGAAACAAAATGTTCCTCCTTATTAGTGATTTGAAAGAAAAAAAAAATGAAATGAATGATTCTACTCCCATTAGTAAAATATTAAAGTTATTTATGATGATAAGAATAATAACTAAAGACTTTAAACAAATTTTCCACATCATTCAATCATTTAAGACAGAATCCTTGTTCATTTATATGTGTATTCTGTTCCAGATGTGAATTTGCACATCGTGATCAGCATGTAGATAAAGTAAGCAGCATGTGTCCCATTTGCATTTACGAGAATTCATCTCTCTCTTATCAATCAAGAGTAAAATTGAGGCGACCATTTCTCCATATATCATGTCTTCTATCTTCATTAAGATCCATACAATTTTGATTTATAAAAATTAGAAAAAAGGAAACGAATGAAGGTGAGATTAAGAAGTGGATGTGAAGTTTTTTTTTTGTAAAGAAAGGCATATATGGGCATGGAATCGATACAAAGCCCAGTTTTTCACACTGCCGCTCTACTCCTTAATGGGTCGGGTCGGACCGAATTATTTTTAATCTTAATAAATAACTTTTTCAATTAAATATAATGGTTTATAATATAATAAAACTAGGGGTACACGTGTCCTGTGAAAATTTCAAATAGATTAAATATAATTCTAAAAATATTCCGTATTATTTTTATTTTTCCAAAATTCAAACTTTTTTTGTCAATTTTAGTATTAATCATAATAAAAAGAAGGTAAGGTGATAATAACAGACGAATCTTTGGTTTAAATAAAATTCTAGTTAAATATGTTAAGATGTTTTAGGTAAGTTGTCCATCCATCATTCTTACTAACAAACCTATAAAAATGTTTAAAAATTAGAATAACTTAAAAAATATGTTTAAATTTTAGATGAATAAAAATAATTTTGAATTAAATTTAATTTAGAAACTCAACATTAATTTAAAAGGTAATTTAGGCGGAAATTATGTTAGAAATAATTTAGTAAGTATGGTAATGATTAAAATATATCATCTAAGATGGAATGTTATGGTGAGAGGTGAACCAAAAATATTAATGGTGGGAGTTGTTAGCCAATTGGATGGTCGAATTTTATCCCCTCCAAAAACATAAATGCATTTTGGATCATTCTTACTATATTTTGATTTACACTGTTATTTTTACATAAACGTAATAAACTATGTTAACTGTCTGACATCGTGATTTCTTTATAATTTTATGAAAAATAAAGAGATTGAATTTTATTTGTAACTTGAATTGAATTGAATGGCTGTGGTGCAGAGCCTCGGGGACCCCACTCTGCCCCATACCTCACTCTACCTTCCGGTTTCACTTATTTCCATCTATCTCTACCTACAATAACCTCTTTTAGTAATAACATGCCAAATTTAGCGCCCAAAATATAGCTTCCTCGTTACAAATGAAGCTTCTTTTATTTATTTATTTTCTCTCAAATACACTCACAGATATCGTTTGAACGTGATTATATCTCGGGTAACATTTTCTGAAGATCCATATAAAACACGATTACAGACCAAACACTTTTAGTGTGCATTTTTCATTTTTCATTTCAACGTAAATTCTTCACAACACCACCCAAACGCAATAGTCAGACAACATTCTAAGATATCATCAATCCAAAGTTTAATACTATTCTTCAAACAAAACAAAAAATAATCGGAAAACTACAGCTGATTCGGTGTTCGTACTAGCAATGGGTAAAAATCAAAAGAAATGGCATTTTTCTAAAATATGCCCAAAAAATTACAAGAAGCATTTGCTTCGGATCAGAAATGACTTAGTGACCGAAGGGACTGAAACAATTAAGAAGGGAAACAAAAAATGTGAAAAAAGAAAAGAAAAATAGTACAGGTGGAAATCCACTATGGAATTGGTGTGACTACCGCTTCTGTTCCATCTTTGCTTTCATTATGGAAAAAAATAAAGAAAGAAAGAATCATCATAAATCTCAAATGTACACAATCATACTAAATTTATTTTTCACCAGGAAGCACAGCAGAAACCCAATCAGAAGCTGCTATTTGGATATCAGTTTCAATACGAGGGGAAAGAGACACCGGAGTCACCGCAACCTGTTCATCCAGATCACATGGAAACAATCAGTCGTCACGGGGGAAAATCGGTTGCCCACGAAGATACCAGCATAGTAGCATGCACCGATAAGGAAAATATATATACTAATTAAAAAAATTAATGTTAATTGAAAAGACAATAATTTATTGCTCCAACTTACGTATCCATTTTCAAGTGCTCTGTAATCTAGATCTTCGTCTACTTCTTCCTGCTCCTTGTCCAAAAACTGAAGATACAAGAAGGGTATATAGCTAAGTTAACTTCTACAAACAACTTGAAATTATTTAATTGACATACATATATACATAAATATAAACAAATACACGAAGGGGATTAGAAACCCGAATCATATCAACAAACTGCAGGGGGTGTTTCAATTAATCTGTATTAGATGAACCCATGATTAAAATAAAAATATTAAGATTACAGGCAACATATAAAAACAATTTTTATAATAATCTCCTCCACATTTTGTTATCTTCCTAATCATAATTATCACATTAAAACACATTAACTAAAATAAAAATAGGTTTTTCGCCTGGTGATAGAAAACTGTAATAAGAGTATTGTTTTTCCCTCCTATTATACCTCTAGTCTGAAGTATTTCTTTATGCTGTTGGGATCAGATTTTCCTGCAGCTCCAGTTGATTCAACAATCTCCAAATTCTTTTTCTGTGTAGCCAATCGACGAGCTGCACCCTGAGGTTGATAAATGAGTAAGATTTGAGTACACCATTATAATAGATTAGAAACATTAAAACCACTCCGGATTACTGAGAACATAAAGACATGATATATATAAGTATGAAGGACACCTACAGCTGCAGAAGCATCTCGGCCAAGCTGTGCAATCTGAAGACCAAGGCCAACTTGATTGGCCATGAAATGACCGGGTGGATAGCGGCTGGTGGAAACCGCTAGCCAGTTGGGGGTGGATCTCAACAAACTTTGCTTGGTCAATTTGAAGCCCTATCAAAACAATGATTACATTGAATCCATGTAAACAACATTTTCAATCATTAGAATCTAATCAGCCCAGAATAATATCATGCACACTAAATTTTGTACAACATACAGGAGCAAAACATTTAAAAAAATAAAAATAAAATTGCCCAATAAATTTGCTTACCTTGTTACTCAAAGGAGACGTGGGGATTTCTATATTTAAAAAACAGTTTTTGGGAAATGTTCCCTTTTCAACATCCTTAATAGCTGCGTTTACTAAAGGTAAACAGACTGATACAGCATCCTTGAAATCGTTTTCTTGACTTCCATCCTTCTTCCTACAACCAGACAAATATCAATTCACAATGCTCAGCAAAAAAGCACAGTTAAAACCAAATGGATAGAATCATCAATTCACCAATTCAACGATATCGATAATGCCGGTACACCGCATAACAATGCCTCCCTGGCACCAGCAACAACCCCTGAGTAGAACCTGGGAATTTTTAAAGAACGAGATAAAGACGGGTTCATACATAAAGACTTCAACTTCTGGATAACATAACACTACAAGTTCCTAGATCGTGTACAACAAACTTAGATCTACATGTTCACCTCTAACCATAAAACAAACAACTTACATGTGATGACCACAGTTTGAACCCCGGTTAATCCCACTAACAACCTGAAAATTCAAACCACATTATCATCCACAACTATTCAGTCCTTCGTTACGAGAACAATCAATCACACGCATAACTGTTAATTTCCAGAGGCACGATATCAACACTAACCAGCATAGGCTTTGACCACGAAAACAACGCTCCAGATAACGCCAGTGAAACACAATCTACAGGAGTTCCTGAATATATAATAAACAATTAAATTCTCGTAAGTTTATAACTGCATCGATATTATTATTATTATTACAAGCCAAGAAGCTGCAACTGAATATTACCTGAAATCTCAAACCCGGTGGCGCCACTAACTTTGGCAGAAGCGGCTTCAACAGTTTCTCGGAGGGTTACGGAGTGCCCCGAAGCCGATTTGTCCCTACGCAACAGTTTCAAAAACTAACAAATTACAAAAGATAGAACTACAAAATGTTGCAAAAAATTGCATTTAATTTATGTTAAAGACTCACGATTGAGGAACGCAGAAGTGGACATTGTAGAGGCCTTCTTGAACGAGAGCTTGAACAAGGTGCGTGAGGCCCGGGGAATCGACGCCATCGCTGTTGGTGACCAACACAACAGGCTTGGACTCATCGAATTCAACGGGCTCCGGGGCCTCGCTGGATTGTTCCTGCTCCGCATTGGAGTCCGAATTGGAATCGCCTTTGCGGCTGAGAAGCACTTCTTGGAGATTGGAGACAAGTCCCGGGGGCATCATCTTGCAACGACGTCGTTGCGGAGGGATATGGTCGCAAAGAAAAAAGAAGATTGAAAAAGAAAAACCCTAACGAAAGAGAAAGGAGGAAGAAGAAGAAGAAGAAGAAGAAGAAGTAAAAGATGAAGAAAGAACGAAAGAAGTCGGAGGAAAAGATGGAACAATAAAGCGCTGAAAATGAAGAAAGAAAAGTGAGTGAATTTGGATAAATGATTAATGACCGCTTCTAACGCTGTTTAAAATTATAGAAGTGGAGATCTAATTAGTTATTAATGTCTTTTCTTTTGTTTTTTTCCCATCTTCTAATCTTGCTTCCGTGGAAAAATTCAAACTTGAATAATTACATTCACAAAAAATCAATTTCATCACGTCAATCTTCTACTTTAATAATGCAAAATTGTTTGGATAAAAAAAAATCTTTTGCAACTTTCAGCAACAAAAAAAAAGAAGCTTTTGAAAGAGTCGTAAATCTAGATTGAACTTATCAAATTAATTTGAGAAAGTCCACAACAACAAGCTACCGGAGGAGGTAACAGCCTTTACAAGCTTTCAATGCGTCACACTTTTTCTTTTTCTTTGGAATCATCCTCAAAGTTTTGGATGGTAGGGCAATTAGGCAAAAAGTGACAATTTTTATGTCGAAATATTTGTTACATGCTTAAATTTACTCAGAAAATTAGAAATTTAGTTATAGTTGATTTATTATACATTGTTGTAAATACTAAAAAATAAATCTGATCGCAATATCCTTGGAAATTAATTTAGAATGTTATAAAAAGGAAATAGTCAATAAGGGGTAAGGCATTTCGATAGATGTCCACATCGTGTAGCCAACAATGAGCATAATGATAGGAGGATGCAACCAAATTTTTTTATTAGTGCTTATCTGATCTGAATCTGAATATCTTAGCCTTTTTCTGTGGTGTTTAAAACTTTGTTTACCAATTAATTGCATCAAAAGTATGAACATGATTAGATCCAATTGCTCAGAGAATAATAAATATTCTTCATGGTATGGTTGGGATTGGCCATTTTTGGACGTGTAGATCATGTCAGATTGTCAAGAGGAGCGATATGTTTAAAAAATAATATGAAAACATGACAATATATTGGTAATGAATTGCTTGCTTTCTTCATAACAAAACAGTAGGTGAATTTATAATGGTCAACATGAACATTTTCTTCTGATGTTTAATGCAGACAGTTTTCGAAATCATGTATCATCAATTTATTAAAGATTGTCTTAACAGAACGTGATATTGGTGGGGGAAACTGGTGTGTCATGTAGGTATAGGAATTCAGAATACTGAAGACAAGTTCATTTTTAGCAAAAAACTTGTTACATTGAAGCAAGAATTACTGAGTTAAATAATAGTTACATAAAGGACTATTAAACATGTTACAGAGATAATTTAATAATTGTCACATGGTGTTGTCTGCAGTGCCCCATGTATGGGTTATCCCTGACCCTTTCGTTTCCTAGCTTTACTTCTCAAAGCAGACATACGGGCCCTATTCTCAGTCTCCTGAAATTAAATAAACCAACTCAGTTTACAGAAAGAGACATGTGAGAAGCACCAAACAATGGCATGGGTCATAACTCACCCTTGTTACAATCATATGTTTCAGGCCAGCCACTAGCTCAAACAAATACTCATAAGCAGCCTTGTGTGGCTCCTGCAAAACAGAACCCTCACTTTAGTTGAGGCCTAAGTATGTTAACAAATATGTTGGTATGTCATAACTGATGCTCGCTCTACCTGTATGTTAGGAGGCAGAGGCAACCCTTCCACTATTGATGCCCTAGGAACCTCCACAACTTGAGTACCACCTGAACCATCAGGAAGCTCAACACTCCAACATGGGGCATTGTATAGGCCTAATGCCCCAAAGTCAAACTCGGGTTTCATCCCTTCTGGATAAAATCTTTCAGAAGCAGAAAGGGTAGAGGTTGAGGCCTATGCATTTATATCAACACAGAAGTTAGCAGATTCGGTGTTTCCATCTTTACCGAGCAATACTAGATAATTATTATGAGAAAATGTTCCGGGCATCTCAAGTCTTAACATATTAAATAGCTATAGAGACACATGCAGCTCTAAGTGATAAAACATTAGCATGGTTGGCTGCAGATATGTTATATCAGAGGCATGATCAAGGGCTTTTGAACTTTAGTTCACGTATGTGTTTTATTTGGCTTTACACAAAATATGTCAAACTTATTTGCACTATAACACCAGAATGCTACTAATCCAAGGACACAAAAGTCCTTAATTCGGGCTGATAATGGCACAGACACATAAAAATTAAATAAAAATATATCTTGCTAACACAATGTACAATTTAGAATATAATGCTTGACAATAACCGCTCAAAGGTTATATGATGTGAAATATATGAAGCACGACATTGTCTACATCTATCAGAATTTCCATTGCTCTTACATGCAATTATACTCATGTATCCTATAGTTATCACATGAAAAGGAAAGCCGAGGAGCACTTCTTGGAAAAGCTATTTGCTAACATACACTTTGAGAAGAGTCTAGTTTACTGGAGTCCAAATTATTAGCACCAAAATCAACATAAGGATCCACCTGATAAGCAAGTAATAAAAAAAGTCAGACACAGTTAACAAGACAATTACAAAGCTTCAATAATTTATTGATTTATGATCAGCATGAAATGATATATTTTAGGCAAAGAAACTTTTCAAGAGACAATTCTCACGTAAATTAAAATATTGTACTCCATAAAGTCTCTTTATAACCACAATTTTCCAAACTGATTACTTGATTTTATTTTTCACATCTTCTCCAAATTCAATACAAATTGCACTTTCTTCCCCAGTGGAAGGAAGTAATCCCCAGCTTGTATTTGATTCCCTATCCCTACAGTAGAATAGAAAACATTCCATTCAGATTTTGTATGTTAGTTTGATAAGTAAACAATACCATTGGTCTTTCTGTCCCTTTGAATGAGTGAAAGGAAGGACTCGCAAAATCAGGTGACTTCAATACGGCATATGCTCCCTTATTATCACACCTCCTTTTACCAAACTGCAGAATAAAAGAGCTTTTAGGAGATATAATATTTCAGATCCTGCAGATCTCATAGTCTTAGAACTGTTTGAAGAGATAAATCACCATGTCTGTATAACAATGTGCAGAGATACTAGTGAAATAAAAAATGTGTACCAAATGTCAACTATTTATGAATTCCATCATTTCAAGGATAAGTTAATTGAAAACAATTATTCCATTATATCAGAATTCTACATTTTAAACATTAGATGCTACTTGCAGAGAAAAGTGTAACCATCTCAATTGGCCATGACATAACTAGATACCATTAATTTGTAATGGCCACAGAACCCATAACTATAATGACTATCTCTCTGTTCGCAATATAAAAAAACACCTGTCCATGAACCCATAACTGTGCTAGTAGCATTTTTAGTTTCCATCCTCTTGCCTTATGAATAACCCAGGTACCTTTACCTCCACCCATTACCCCAACTTTAATAAAATAAAAACGCTATTTCATATCCTTTTTTTCCTAGCACTAGTAGCAATACCCTACAAGAGGCATTCACTTTCAAGCTAGGAGCATATAGCTTGGTAAAGATAGCTTTCCCGGTGAAGTTTTTACCTTTTTCCATACATTAGGTTTGAATCTAAGATCTTGTTAAGGAAACCCAAACATGCACCGCATGAACTAACATCCACAAGTAATGTTATCTCATTCATTAACCATCAGACATATCAAACAAAATATATCACTAAAATTCAACATAGCAAATTTATTACAAAACACAATGTAAGTCCAGTTCTTGTAACGAGCAGAATAAACAGATTTGAATCCAACAATACAAACTTATGAAATGAATAATTTATAAACCTCTAAAACTAATACTTCCATTCTCCAAGATATGTCAAAATATACTAATGGTTTATGTATATATAGTAAGTCAAAATAACACAAATAGTTTATTATATATTGATTTAAATAATATTTGTTATAGGTAATGGTGTTTGCAACATTATTTAAAATAACAATTATATATAGATATAGTCATATATGCAAAGCCAAACCATTAAATAAATTAATAATATTAATAAACAATGCTACTTGGGTATGCAAATTTGAACCTGTGGATAGTCTGGAGCACTAAAAAGTGTACATAGTTTCCCCGATTCTCCATCATGATCTATACTGTATCCACACAGCATATCCCCAAGATCATCATCTCTACCAGCCCTTGCATCGGGTCCTTCATGTGATCTGATAATCAGCTATGCAGAAAGAATAATATTTACTCAGAGTAAGATTATATTTAGTAATCAGTCAAATAATATTCTAAACAGATTTTCTTATACACATCTAAGCATGTAATCCATTTTGTGCAATGACAGGTCTCATTGATGACAATTTGTGATGATATTTCCAAATATCTAACACTAATCTAAAGCATGATATTTTAGTGATTGCATTCCGGATAATTTTAGTGAAACGAATCAAGAATATAAACTAGACCATTACTCTCTGGTTACAATAGTAATTCATGAAAACAAAAACGGAAACTTGCACACCAAATGTGTACAATAAAATAAAAAACATGAATAGTTCAATTTTCTTGTAGGTACAAATGATTATAATGTTTATATTTTCAGTTAACAAATAAATTTCCTGAACTTAGAAATATAAAAAGAAATAAAAAAAGAAGGCAGACTATGCTTAAACAGAGTTAGCAAAATGGAGAAATGGTCACAGATAAGTCCAGGTTTGAATGGTGGGTAAGCAACAACTCAAATTCCACTCTAAAAGGTCTTGTGTCGTAAAGGAAATCAGTAAGATAACCATTTTCATTTAGACTAGTGTGTAAATGAAATAAGTTCTTAAGGAGCATCGTGTGATATAACACAAGTATGAGCTAGAGCGACAGGTGAACAGTGAAAATAGAAGTGCAGACTTCTGACTACATTGGTGTTTTTTAGCTATCTTCTCTCAACCTCCAGTCAGCCACCATGATAAACAAGGAGAAGCCCAATAAAATAATGGAACAGACCAGGCTCATTCTCCAAAACAATAGGAAGACAGCCAATTAAGTTCTCTGACTAGAGGACACAAGAAGTCAAAATATCATGGCTATAGTAAGCTAACAAAAACTACCAATTTGGGTGTGGATCTGGGTGTGACATCAAACATAACTTTATTCTTTTAGAAGTTTGGAAAACCTTGATCAAATTACTTCATTCAATAAAACAAATAAGTATTTCGCATTGCTTCATACAATAAAGTACATAGGCACTATGGTCAAATTATCATTTTGAATGTTATTACCTTTAAATTGTGCTGCTTTAAGAATGCCTCAGTGCAATCAGGACCCCACAATAAACCTAACTTTTGACCACCTGTATTATACCTCAGGCCATACCTGTTAGATGGTCCTGACCAGAGAACATCGCTCAACAAAATGTTAGGACCTTCATAAGGACAATCTACACAAGATCGATTCGCTTCAGATAACTCGGCTAAAGAGCCAAGATCCACCCTCCATATTTTATTCCGCTTTGGTTTCTGTGAGGGGGCTGCATGTATACTACGGAAAAGTCCTCCATGTGTAGTATAAACACAGTTTGCAATAACTGAAGCTAACGGAAGCTCCTTGAAACACTCTAGGAATTTATTGTAGACATCTTCACCTTGATCACCATATTTCGCCCACACCTCCTTCTTAAAACCATATCTCGCAGTGCAATATCTTGATTCATGATTTCCACGAAGTAGATATACTCTGTGAGGCATCAATACCTGAATGTGCAATGAAAGACTTTACCTACTAATAAATATTCAGTGCGTAATATATATGTAAGAATTCCATTGGTCCACCACAACAGTTATTAGGTCATACAAATATTTCTAAAATAGATCTTCTGTGATCTATTTTCTCCTTCTGGTGTATATACACCAACAAGGCAACAACCACCAACAAAATCATGAAGAATCTCAAATATAATAAGTTTGCAGCCATCACCTTACCTTCCAAGCCAGTAAGACCAAAAATACTTCAATTCCCCAAGCTCCTTTATCTACATAATTTCCATTAAAAACATAAATCTGGTTCTCAGAGGGCACTCCTGCGTGCTTGAAAATAAACATTAAATCATGAAACTGCCCGTGTATATCGCCCACTACAATTACTCTTGAATCTTCTACTTGGCCATTGATCTCCACACAGTTTGGTTCTTTACTTAAAATCCTGCAAGCAGCGTCTGCCAAGTTGTACACCAAAAGGGGCGGCACAACGTGACAGAATTCAGATGGCAACATCTTCTGTGAAGCCTGCTCAAGGATGGTCATCATGTCCTGAACCCACCCTATGGTGACGCAATCATCAGGCGGCCACATAAGAAATTGCTGAAAGCACGGTAACAAAGACTCCTGAATTTCATCTATTCCATTCTCAAACCTTAAAACATGTCCTACATCCAACATTTCATCTTCATTAGTCATGCTCAGTGCCCCATCGATTAGGGCATCGTTATTGCAAATCTTGGTTGACTCTTTGATGAGACTATCTGGCATCCCTTCATCCACAAAGCCAACCTGTAAAACTGATCAATGTACCTTAAAGAGAAATCTTAAGTCGAGACAAAATGAAACAAATTAAAACATAAGAAGACAACAAGCAGAATTAACCCCTTACTTGTTCAGCAAGCAAGTCGGGCCTAGGTATTGCAACTCTAGGTTGTTTATCAATAATCCTATGAGCAATTTCCTTCATCCTCGTGACTAAATGCATCCTTTGGTCATCCACACCATCAAAGGATATCCTACTTAATATCTGAATGATATCCCTGGATGCACAGACCTGCAAACTGCATCAAGTCAGTTAAGAGATAGATAAAAACACCAACATTAACATAATCCATGGCGAATTAACCATCAAACACAAAGGAATCAATGTGAACCATTTTCTCAATGCTGCAGCGCAAGGCAGTGATCACATCACTCTTAGTCACCTGCAAATATCATCCAATTTATGAGGGTAATGCTCAGCAAGACAAAGACAATTGTGTGAAAAAACACTTATATCAGCAGACGCTTATTTCTCATGGTAGTACCTTTCTATCTCGATCATCAACAACCCCACGTGCTATTTCTCTCATCATCACTAAAGAATGCACTTGTTGGTCATCTAAATTTACCAAAGACATTGAATTTATTCCTTCCAAAATCTTCTGGCACCCACTCTTTACTCGCTCTTTGTGGTGGTCCATGACAAGAGCCGGTAAGCCCAGAAAGAGAACTACATTAACTGACACATGTGACAACCACAATACCCCAGATGAATATTTTCACTCAGACTGGCACGAAGATAGTTAGACAATAGGAAAGGTGAGAACTTTGACAGTGCAATGAAAACCCAAGTATGAGGAATGAAGGGGTGAATCAGGTTAAGCAATAACCTCACTCCTGGTGAACCTTTTTCCCTTCACTTTAGCAAGCTCTGCTGCTTTAGTTCTATAAAAAAGTTTACTTCAAATTGAAAAATTGAGTGCCCTGATTCAGGTATGGCTGCAAGGTGAGCTTCAAAGTCTTCTCTTTATCCTGAGCCAGCAACGTATGTTTCCCTAAAGGAAAGAAATTAGGGTTTGCTTCTGGTGCTGATTCTAATGCGCACAGAGCAATGAAAATTGATAATGCAGAAAAAAAAGGCAGAAATTATATTATTAACAATCAATGGTTAATAAATAATTAAGGAGTAATAGATATGCATTGATAAATGTTTTTAATCACTCAAACTCTATTTTACTTTTGAAATTAGGAGATATTAGTGATAAAATGATGCTCAAGTTTACTTTAAAATAAAGTGATATTTTTATTTATAAATTTCATATGTAAAAATCAAAGACCAATTATCAAATTATTCGGGTAATAAAAAAAATAATGATAAAAATCAATATAAAGTCAATAATTTTGTTATGAAGTTAAACAAATTAATGTTTTCTAAATTATTGTCGAAACATATACAAATATTTTTGGAACTTAATTGTTAAAGCATTCACACACATTTATAAAAAAAATGTAAAATTCTCATATTTCCATCATTTAATTTGTGAAATGCTCAATTGAATTCAATTTCATGTACAAGAGTAATTTGACGAAAAATATGACAAGAAGCTGTAATTAGAGATAAAGATGCTGAAAGAAACTCTAACATGACATTTTTTTTCATAAATTGGCCCAATTAATGAATTTTGTTCATACCTAATTAAAATCTTCACATAATTATGCATGGTTTTTATTATATTTATAGTTATAAATTGTTATCTTTTATAAATAAATTTATTATAATGTTTTCATAATATACAGATATGTTTTAAAAAATAAATTATAAAGCAATATTAAAATATACATTTATGTATATTTATTAGTTATTAATTAACTTTAAACAACTAATATTGTATTTAAATCTAATAGGGGTTTAATTTAGTGCTGAATTAAAATAAAATAAATTTATTTAATTGATGAAAAAAGTAAATTAAAAAATTAGTTTCAATATTTTAATCAAAATTTTATTGTTTTTTACCAGTTTATACACGTCTCAAGAAATATGATTATGTTATATCTGATAGATCATTACAAAATTTGACGTTAACAGAAAAAAGAGAGTTAAAAAATAGATTAAATTAACATAAAAATATAATAATATGAAATGGAGAAAGACCACTCTATCCCTAACCCTAATTTTAAAATCTAAATTACGTAACAATGGTTGAATGATTCTATAATTAAAATTGATGACCAATTCCAATGCTAACACACCTTTCTATTTATAAGCATCAAGTTGGATGAGTGATGAATTTATGTGGACTTGTTTAGTTTAAGTGCAGTAATTAGGAGGAAGATTAGAAAAGATAAATCTCGTTTTAAAAAAATAAATCGCGATAAAACTATTGTAAAATGAAAGTTTCGATTTTTTTTTAATATATATTGTTGTTGATACCATTTAATATTTTTTACAAATTAAAAATAAGTTGTTAGGTGTGGAAAGAATAATTACTAAAACAAAATATTTTTATAAATTCTGCCGTCTTTTATTTTTTATTTTTTATTTTGCCGTCTCAGTTAAATATTTATTATTTATTATGTTAACGCGTTGTATATTAAATTAAACAAAATATATTCTTAATAGAATGAATGATGAAGAAAATAAATATTCATCCCAAAAGGTATTTTATGCTGAATCCACAATTAGAATATATTTGAATGTAAAATTAATAAGCTTGGCTTAAAAAATATGTATCAAGTCAAAAGTATTTTTTAAAATACTAAAATTAAAAACTTAATTAATTTTAGTAGAATTTAAAAGGTTAAAATTATACAAAATATAAAAATTAATTTTAGAAATATATAATAAATATATTTAATGATTATTAAATTAAACAAGTCAAACTTATTAAAATAAATTAAAATTCAAGTATCTCAATAATTAATTCCGTGATTTAAGAAATTGGTTGACGAATAAATTGAGTAGATGAATGATGAACCCTAAAATCCTATCTCCATGACTAATGGAATACTTGTTCTGTCGTGTCCTGCCACCATTGATTTCCAATTTGTAAGTCAAATTCCAACACCATTTTCAAGGTCCTATTATTGGTTTAGGAATATTTTACTACATATCCTGATTAAATAAATTTAAGAGTTTCCTTTGGAAGAAAAAGACGATTTCAAACAAAAAAAGCCTTTTTATTTATATTTCGAACATAATAATTACTTTCTAATAAAACAAAACGTGTAGGAAAAAGAATCTAAGTACATCTTAGCCATAAAAATTAAATTTTTATCTAGTTTCCACAATTAATTTTCTCAAAACTACAATGCTATTTCTAAAATACACAAAATTCATCAACATATATAAACAACTTTAAGGATGCAAAATTATTAGTTACATTCTTTTTTAGAATAATTTTTTTATTATATATATATATATAATTAAAACTGTTAAAATGGACTATGTAATCTAATTTTGATATAAATTTATGCATCAAGTAAAGAAATTTTAATGACTTAATTTGTCCTACATTTTAAAATGGACAAAACATATTAATCAGATTGATTTTAAAAAAAATATTAATATATTTATATAAAATTATTTAATTAAAAAAAGTAAATAAAAATATATTTAAAAAATTTAAAATTCATATAAATTATAAAATAAAAATTATAAATTTATTATTTATTTTAATAATAAATTAATTTAAACTAATAATTAAATATTAAAATAAGTAATAATTTGAATTTTATTATAATAATTACTTTTAAAATATTTTTAAAATTAATTTATATTATATATATTTTTTAATAAAATAATATTAGTTTTATTTTTATTTAAAAAATAATTATTAGGATTGAATGCCCTAATATATTAAGGTAGTTTCAATTGACAGTTTCAACATGTGGTTTGTTACAGACAACAATGTAGCAGAGTGTAGTGCCCCACCTACTTTTTCAATACCAAACACTTTCTTCCACGTGGCAAAGGTGGGCCCACAAATAAAATTCCAAAAATCCTAGACCCTGTTACTGACAAACCATTATTAGGTGTCTCTGAATCTGACAGTAGGACCTGCCACGTCGGAAAGTGGGGACCACGTTCCATTCTCTTAAATTCACAATATATTTTAATATCCAAAAATAATTTCATTAGGCCATTTGGCATTTAACCATGAAACCCCATGTTCCAAGTCAAGAACCGTGTTGATCCTCTCAAAAAAAAAATCATTTTTTTTTTTAATTTGTGAAAGTCAAGCAGAAGAAGGAGAAAGTGGAAGGTATGAAATTATGAAAAAGAAGAAAAAAAAAATGGATAGGTTGGCCCAGAAATTTGTTTGGACTTGTGAGGAAGGAAAGGGACACAGTGACACACAGTCACGCACACGCTCTTTTTCTCTTTCACTCTCCAGTTTCTTCCTCCCGAAGAGTATTATAAATATTATTTACAGAAAATTTTGATATTTGTTTATGTTACTGTATTTATTTTATCCTAAAGTTTTCACTGAATGCCAACAAAATACTCTTGGCTCTCTTTCTCTCTCATGGAGTAAATAAATTATACGAATGCAATCACACTTCTCAGAACCTTCAACACACATAGTCACAATAACCAGCTTCTGTCTCTCTCTCTCTCTCTCTCTCTCTCTATATATATATATATATCTATCTGTTTCTGTCATTGTTTTGTTTGTTTTGTTCTGTTCCAGCCTCTGCCGTCTTCCGCTGAATGGAGACGCCACTGCCCTTAGGTGCGTTTGGAAAACGTGTTTTTTTGTGCGCAATGCAGTTTCTTCGAAATCTTCGTCTATTTGTTTTCATGCCAATTCATTATTCTTTTTCAATTTCGGGGTTTTTCTTCCTATGTGATCTCTCTTCCTAGCTCAAATTTGCTTTCTTCTCTTCTATTTTATTTTGTAAAGGGAAATTTTCAAATGATTAATAATATTCCAGGTCAGACCTTTGTTTTGGTCGGTCGGTCGTTCCTTTGAGTTGCTGTGAATTTTTAAGAGGGACGCGTTTGCATTAGTTTCTCAATTTGACTACAACCAATTGCTCAGACCTCACTGAACCCTCACAAGATCTCTCTTCAGCTTTGGTTTATTTTGTTTCCTCTTAACTTTTGGATTTTTTTTATTTTTTATTTTCTGATGTATGGATGCGGGTGCAATTTGAATGTTGCTCTTATGTTTCGATTTCGTGTTTTCACGTTTCGCGCATGAATTTAGGTTTTTTGGGTTGTTTTGTTCAATTGGAAGCTGTCTTTAGGTTTTGTGATGTGCATCAAATTATCATCACGTTTATGTGCTGTAGTTAATAGTTTTGTTTGTGTATATATTTGTCAGGTTTCAGTAAAACAAAATAGGGGATAAGGGGGGAGCTTTAATTGGTCCCTAAAGCTAGAAGCGGGTTTAGGTTTTGCTGTTGGTAGTTATGTGTCAGCTGTAAACTACCTTTGAGCTGAAATCTGGGTTGAATGGCACGGGGGAGGATCAGAGCAAGGCTCCGCAGGAGCCATCTTTACACATTTGGTTGCCTGAAGCCAACTACCACTGAGGAGGTGCCTCATCCACTTCAAGGTCCTGGCTACTCGCGAAGAGTGCTCTGCAACCAGCCTCAACTCCATGAAAAGAATTCTCTATTTTACTGCAAGAATGATATATCAACCACCAAATACAATGCCATCACGTTTCTGCCTAAGGCATTGTTTGAACAGTTTCGAAGGGTTGCTAACATATACTTCCTTTTGGCTGCTTGCCTTTCGGCTTCTCCAATTTCACCTTTCAGCCCCCTGAGCATGATTGCTCCTCTTGCATTTGTTGTGGGACTTAGTATGGTGAAGGAGGCATTGGAGGATTCTCGCAGGTTCCTTCAGGATATCAAAGTTAATCGACGGAAAGTTAGTCTCCATAAAGGCGATGGCACCTTTGGCTTAAGGTCGTGGCAGAAGATTATGGTTGGGGATGTGGTGAAAGTAGAAAAGGATCAATTTTTTCCAGCCGACTTGCTTCTCTTGGCGTCAAGTTATGAGGATGGAATATGCTACGTGGAGACAATGAATTTAGATGGGGAGACCAACTTGAAGGTGAAGAGATCTTTGGAGGCTACCATGTCTCTGGATAATGATGGGGCTTTCAAGGATTTCTCTGGAACAATATATTGTGAAGATCCAAATCCCAGTCTTTACACTTTTGTTGGGAACTTTGAGTATGAAAATCAGGTTTATCCTCTTGATCCTAGTCAAATTCTCCTCAGAGATTCGAAGCTTAGGAACACTGATCATGTTTATGGAGTGGTCATTTTCACTGGACATGATAGCAAAGTCATGCAGAATTCTACAAAGTCCCCTTCAAAAAGAAGCACAATAGAAAAAAAGATGGATTATATCATATATACTCTTTTCACTGTCCTTATATTAATATCGTTTATTAGTTCAATAGGATTTGTTGCAAAGACCAAATACCAAGCCCCAACGTGGTGGTATTTACGTCCTGACGATATTGAATACCAGTTTGATCCTGAGAAAATTGGATTGGCTGGGATGAGCCATCTGATTACTGCACTCATTCTTTATGGATATTTGATACCCATCTCGCTTTATGTTTCAATTGAGGTTGTGAAGGTATTACAGGCAACCTTCATTGACCAAGACATTCAAATGTATGATGATGAAACTGGGACTCCAGCTGAAGCACGGACATCAAATTTGAATGAAGAGTTGGGTCAGGTAGACACCATCCTCTCTGATAAAACTGGCACTTTAACTTGCAACCAGATGGACTTTTTGAAGTGTTCCATTGCCGGTACTGCATATGGTGTTCGGTCCAGTGAAGTTGAACTTGCTGCAGCAAAGCAGATGGCTTCTGATCTTGACGATCAGGACTTGGAACAAAACATGGAGCAGGACTTGGATCTCTCTAATTTCCCCATGCATAAGGAGAGTAAAGTGCCATGGGAAAATATCGCTGAAGATGAAGAATCTGAACTTGGGATTGTTGTTAATTCCAGAGGTGATGAAGATCGAAGGCCTGCCATAAAGGGATTTGGTTTTGAAGATGATCGCCTTATGAATGGTAACTGGTTGAGAGAACCCAATGCTGATGTCCTTTTACTGTTTTTCCGGATATTAGCAGTTTGCCATACTGCCATCCCTGAACTAAATGAGGAGACTGACAGTTGTACATATGAGGCCGAATCACCTGATGAAGGGGCTTTTCTAGTAGCAGCTAGAGAATTTGGTTTTGAATTTTACAGGAGAACTCAATCAAGTGTTGTCATTCGTGAAAGTTTTTCTGCCGCAGGAAAAGTGGTTCAAAGGTGAGTTGGTTTTTCACAACAAACTCTACCATGCTTATCGTTTTCATATTTTTTTGTGGGAGGGGCCGGGGGTGTTCTGACACTTGCTTTTGAATTCTTTCCTTTGTGATGTCATATTTCTTACCTTTTTTTTGTATGTTTATTTATTTTTGTGTTTTGGTTGATTTATACAGAGAATATAAAATTTTGAATCTGCTGGATTTTACTAGCAAAAGAAAGCGCATGTCAGTTATTGTGCGTGATGAGGAGGGAAAGATCATTCTTTTCTGCAAAGGAGCTGACAGGTTAGCATATTAATGTGATTTTTGTATTTAATAGTGACAGCTCAGCTGAATGGATGGTGTAAATGATTACGTAGGAACTTCTATTAGTTTCTACAATGGAACCATTAAAATCATCTGATGATTGGGGTTTATATTGTACTAGCATACTATATAATACTGCAACACCTTGCCTCCAGAAAAAACTTGCTGCTGTGAAATTATGCATGTATGCTGTCTCATATACGCTTTCAATGTCCCTCACTAACTTTGACACCCATTATTTTCTTGCTTGGTTGTGCAGCATCATATTTGATCGACTGTCTAAGAACGGAAAAATGTATTTGGATGCTACTACTACACATTTGAATGAATATGGAGAAGCTGGTTTGAGAACACTAGCCCTGGCTTATAGAGAGCTTGATGACCGAGAGTACTCTGATTGGAATAACAAATTTCAGAAGGCCAAAACAGCTGTTGGGCCTGACAGAGAGGCAATGCTTGATCAGGTTTCAGATATTATGGAAAGAGAGTTGATACTTGTTGGGGCTACTGCTGTGGAGGATAAACTACAGAAAGGGGTAGGTTGTATCATTATTTACATAGTCAAAATACGATGTTGCTTCTCTCTGTGCCTCTACCACCTCTCAATATTTTGTTCTCCCTCAGGTGCCTCAATGCATTGACAAACTTGCTCAAGCTGGGCTAAAGATCTGGGTATTGACTGGGGATAAGATGGAAACTGCAATCAACATTGGGTCTGTCTTCTGAAAATTATTTAACCACATAACACCAATTCATTTTTTTTTCTAAATTTATGTTTCAAGTTACTTGAAAATGCCTCTGTAATTGATTTTTGTGATACTTTTGTTTCTGTTCTCTGCAGATTTGCTTGTAGTTTGCTTCGACCAGGCATGAAGCAAATCTGTATCACAATGAATTCAGATTCAGTAACTAATGATGGGAAAGAGGTAGTTTTTTCATTGAGATAGAGTAGATAAACATACTAGTAGACATGACTTTCATCTGATGATATCGCTGGCTCTTATCCCTCAGGTCATTAAAGGAAACATCTTGACTCAAATCACCAATGCCTCGCAAATGATAAAGCTGGAAAAGGATCCACATGCTGCATTTGCATTAATTATTGATGGGAAAACTCTAACATATGCTTTAGAAGATGACGTCAAACTCCAATTTTTGGGACTGGCTGTTGGCTGTGCATCTGTTATTTGTTGTCGTGTGTCTCCAAAGCAAAAAGCATTGGTAGGAACATTTTCCTTTTTCATTTATTCCTTTGTGAGATCTACCCTAATAGTTTATACTGCATTTCCATAATGGATCACTATTAGTGATGCTACTCACAATAGTTGGAGTGAAAAACATTCACAACTACAGGCATAGCTCTATGTTGATGTTATATGGGAAAGATTAGGTTGGAGTTCTGTTGTGCAATATTGTTATTTAAATGCTTCTGTAGTAGAATTTATCTAATCTAATTTAATATCTATCTCTATAGCAAGTTTATGAGTATATGTAAAATGTGTACTGCTGTGTTGTGTCTTAATCCCTTATTCGTTTGGAGTCAGGTTACAAGGCTAGTGAAAGAAGGGACTGGGAAGACCACTTTAGCCATTGGTGATGGTGCTAATGATGTCGGCATGATTCAAGAAGCTGACATTGGTGTTGGAATCAGTGGGGTTGAAGGTATGCAGGTCAGTGTCCAGCTTTTTTATTTGTAATTATGTCATGCTAAAGTATATCTGCACATGATGTATTCTAACATTTTCATATGTTGCAACTGTACATGATTCATCTTCACAACACAAATCAAATTTTGGTTTTGTATACCTTTAGTATTTTAAAAAATGACTGAGGTTAGGAATATTGGGAGCCTGTCGATTTTTTAGACATTTTTTTCAAGTTGGACTGGCGGAAGAGTTTTTGTCAAGCCTTTTCGATAACTTTATTGTTTTCAGTGCTGACCAAGGGCGAAGCTTCTTGCTTTAAATGGAACCTATCCAGCTTCCTTGTTTTATCTTCAACTCTTACTGATAATAGACAGGACCAGATGAGGAACGTCTAGTCTGAATTCAAGTATTTCTGATGATATTGAAGAGCAAAAATTTTCATTGTGTCAACGCTGTCATCCAACCTATAGCTGTTCATTCCCTGAGTGTTAAAAATGCATTCAGCGTACTAGTTAACGTTATTATTTTTTGACAGTGTATAATATTTATTTAGTAAAATTTCTACTAGATTATTTGCTATGAAATGTGGATATGGATTATATAGAAACTATCAGCTGATCAATATTTAAATTTAACAAATTTGCGTGCTTCCGTTCATGTGAAATTATGTAAAATGATGAACTTGCTGATTACAATTCATTTACAATTGTACGTCATCATTTGTGAAGAATAATTTGGTTAAAATCTACAATTGGCCTAAAACACTTGTTGTATGCTCCTTAAAGAAAAAACATATGTGTGTTCTTTTTCTGTTTGGAAGCGTGTACTATTTATTGGAACTCAAGCTTTCA